TGAGGCCAATTAAACATGGTCAGCTGGACTTTTACAGTGAGAATTCATCAGTTCCATTCACCCTGGGAATTAAACACAAACCCTAAAACCATGATTCTCAAATGTAGTCCCCAGACCAGCAAAAAAAAAAAAACATTGCCTGTGAATCTGTGAACACTCCAGAATCAGAAACTGAGAATGGGGCCCTGAAATCTGTTTTAACAAGACCTTTTGATGATTATATGCATGCTAAAGTTTCAGCACATGTTGTCTAGAAGACTGGCAAGACAAGTTTTCAGGTTCCCTACCCTGGGTAGGGAAATATAATTTGTTTTGGATTACAAAGTATCTCTTCACTTTCCCAAGCACAGCGAATATATTATTCTTATCTCCAAAAACTTAATTTTAATTGAGATGACTTCAAAAATACGAAGTCAAGATTTACCTTCAATAAAACGTATTAAACACAAACCAACTGCTTTAACTTTATACATTTGTGACTAGGCTAATATAAATGCCTAGGTTATCAGTAAGGCTAATTTTTATATTCAATGTAATTTGAAAGGTTTTATCATCTTCCACTAAGTAACAGAATAAATAAGAATTCCTAGAGTTGCTTAAATTGCTTATCAGCAATTCCTCTCCCTACAGGTAAAGCATATATTCTTTCCAATCTCTCTAGCCAAGTCTATTCAATTCATTTTCACAATTTTACATTTAACTGAGCTTATCCAAGAAAATGGATCATGATTTATTAAATTACCTGTATATATAACTTTTCCTCCTTGGCATTCAGGAAGCGGCCTTTTCCTACGCTTGTGTACTTTTTCCCGAAATCTTACTGTTATCACCACATTCGAATTACCAGCACTGCAATTCATTTCAGAAAAAGACTTGGTTTCCACAAGGTTTCCAAACTTTTTGTTGACAAAATGGTGGACAGCTCTTCTGTGGCCTTTGTTTGCATCAGGTTTAAAGGTAAATTTGGAATTTTCTTTCTTTGCATCCAAATATTTAAAAAAATCAAAAGCTTCCTCTTCTGACACCAAATGACAAAGTTCTTTATACTCATGATTTGGTTTTACAATAATTTCACTGTTTTTTCCTACAGTTATTAAAAACGGAAATTTCTGCCTAATGCCACTATGTAAACTAGCCCTCTGTTTTTTGTCAAGGATTCTGCCTATTGAGAATTCAGGAGGTGGTCCAATTAGCTCTGTTTTAGAAAGCCACTTCTCTTTTATACCACAAGCAAAATGATTCAGTAACTCATGAGTTTTTTCATCTAAAAAAGAGCTTAAAACATCAGCTTTTTCTTCACATTCGGAAGTTCCATCACTTATAGTATCTTCCTTTTCTGAACCGGACTGATGATTTTGGTCACCATCAGTGTACTTAACCAAAGTATTAACTTCTTGCTTTCTTCCATCTTCAAAGGACAGATTTTGAAGATCTAGTTTTGGTTTTTTGGGAAAATTATTTGGCTTAGATTGTATTTCACTAACCTTGAAAATAGGCTCATCAATGGTCTTATTAACTAACTGTCCCTGTTCATCAATTTCAATAACAATAAAGTCACTTGGTGAGCTTTTTATAGTGCCATGAAATCCAACATGATCATTAAAGAAACACAAAGAACTAAACCTGATTCTATAATCTGTATCTTCTTCCATTCTTCTATCATAATGGCTAGAAAACAAAAACAAAGAGGTAGTTACCAGAAAGAGAAGTTATGGATGACCAAATTGGAATAGGTTCGCAGGATTTCGTTAATTCTGCCTCTCTTTTAATGCTGAGTCTTCTTAAATGGCATCATTAACTTAATTTATGACTATATGAACATCCTGTGTACTTTGATTTTCCTAAACCAAGCTGAATTAATAGGCAAACTATATCTGGTATAGCTAGAGATTTGGTAACTTGTATCTTCACTCACTCTAGATTTGTACCTATTATCCAGGATTAAAATGAGTCAATTTTAAGTTTATCTTAAAAATACCATTTGTAGGCACACAAGAAGAGGTGACAACACAGGACTATAAAACAAAGATCTGTTCAAATTCCATTCCTGGAGCCTAAAACTTCCAGCTAATTCCAGAGAATATGTGGCTAAGTTTTCTTGTGGTTAGTGACAGGAGAGATAACAAGAAGACAATAGGAAAACTGATGGGTAAATGAAGTTATAAATACAAATTTGAAATTTGATTATATTTCAAGGCAGGATTAAGTTAGTCCTTGACCTTCTCTAATGCCCCCGTTAGGATATACAGAAGCTTTTGAGGTTGACCCAAGGAAAAGTCTAACTATATCACCGGCATTAGAAAGAAGAAACCCTTACAGAGCTTCCTGGGAACACAACACCAGAGAACACTACTCTGATCTCTGACGTTTCACACAAACCTATGACTACCATACCATATGGAGCTGCAGGAAAGAGAAATTGCCCAGGGACTCCGTACTACTGAGTTCTGTGTTTGCCCACATTCTCCAAGTAATTTATTATCATCTGGACCATCATCTCATTTCTATAATGTACTCTACTAATCTGAACCAATTTAGCAAATCACATCCCTTCTCAATCCTTTAGATCGTGCCATATAGAAATCACAGCAAATTCTCTATATCCTAATTTCCTAAGGAATACATAAGACATATTTACTTTCCTTAATTACTTAATTTCCTGTACAGTTCCCTCACGTTCTTGCCCTAATTGAAACCTGGCTATTTCTTTAGGCGGCCGCTTCTTTAGTCCTCTCAAGTGAGGGCTATTTTTTCTTTCCCACCCATCTACCTTAGGACCTAGAGGCTGTAAATATGTTCTATATCACTGTTTCTTGCAAGCCATTTCTTTATCTACTACCTCCAAAACCCCAAATCTTTTGAAGAGCCTGCCATCAGGCTTTACCCTCTGCTGTCATCCTCTCTCAGATCCCCAGACAACTCCTCTTCATTCACTGATCTCTGCCTCACTACCTTCTTATCCAACATGTTTTCATGATCATCTAATATGGATCATCCATTCAATGACTTGGACCCTCAAGTCCTCAATTTCAGGTTCAACCTCCCACCTCTACTTCATCTTGGTCATCCACTGTCATGATGATAACTTTGACTTTCTCATCTGCAAAAACCACATTAATCTTAAGCATCTGATTCTTACCATTCCCACTGCCCTTCGTCACACCTACTTTAGTACTTCCATTCCAAAAACTTTTAGATGTTGTGAAACAACTCCTGCTTCTACAACTAGCCCACTATAATCCATTATCTAGCCAGAATGGTGTCTTAAAACATAAGTTAAATCATATCACAATCCAGTTTAAAATCCTCTAATCACATTTGCAATAAGATCCAAATTACTCACTCTGGCTTCCAAAGACATCTAAGATTAGGAACCCTGTTTATTCTCCAAACTCATTTTGTACCTTTGCCCCACTACCCACTATACTCCAGCTACTCTGGCCTTCTTCAGTGCTTTTGTGCTAACTGTTCCTGTTGATTAAACGGTTCCTTCCCCAATCATATAGTTGCATCTTTTAGGATTCATGTTCTTAGAGAAGTCTTTCCTGACCATTAATCTATAGGAACCTGCAAGTGATCCTCTTTCACAAAACTCTATTTAATTTTCTGCATAGCAGTTCTAGCTAACATTTTTCGTTATTATTTTTGTCTACCTCCTCCAAAGAGAATGTTAGTTCCACTTGAAAAGTAACCTTGTCTGCCTTATTTACTACTGATGATCCCACATTTTGAACAGTGTTAAGCACATGGTGGGTCTGCAATAAATACTAATTGTTGAATAAATGAAATAACTAATACAAAATAAGAGCTGTGAGAGTGTAATAGAAGATAATTAGGAGAGGCATAATGCAAGAAGTGGCCATCTAAGTTCTCCAATAGTTCAAGCGATAGAAATGAGGCAGAGACCTCACAAGTAATGTACAAACAAAACATGCAATGTATGAGAGAAAAGTAAGCAGCCCAAATACAGAGCAGTGGGGATGGGGATGCAGGAAGAGTACAGTGCTGGAAAATACAGCTGAGTTAGTATCAGATGATGGAAGATGCTGAATGCCCTGACAAGGACTTAGAATTTACTCGGTGGTCAATGGACGGTTAGTGTTTGAGTAGAAATGTGACACAATCCCAGAACATGCTTTAGTAAGATGATTCTGATGGAAGTGAGCAGGATGTATCCGATGGAGTAACAGTTCGAGCAGTTTAAAAAGAAAACAGGGTGGTCAAGAACACAGCTGTAGGGACTGGCCCTGAAAGAATAATGATCTTTTCTTTCCCCCTGAAAAAAGGAGGAAGATAGACATTCTAAGCAAGTGAAACAGTTAGGGAAAGTTGAGGAGAAATGAGGGAATTCCAGCAACCTGGTAAAAGAGTGGAACCGAACTGGATGGCAGCAAAGGAGCCCAAATGGCGTTATGCCTGAAGGTGCAGTGTTCCCATTCAACAGATACTGCTGATGACCGTGAGGGGCAGGGGGTGGAGGGGTAGTTTGCTTGGCCCGTGATTGAGGAATTCTTTGGTTGAGGAGGGATCCTGGGAAGGTATTAGAAATACTGAACCCAGTCCTGCAGAAGCTACTACACTTCACAGAACGAGGGTAAGTCCAAAGGTGTCCCCGACCAGGCCAGCAGCCCTACTTGTTTCTTCTCCCTCCCCTAACTCTACCTGTCCAAAGGCGCGACACTAGCCCACGTCACCCTTCTTTGGTGACAAAGGGTACGGATCCTCAGTGCCGATCTCGTCACCGCCCCACATACAAGCCTCCCATCGCGCAAGAAGCTGGACCCGATCTACCTCGGCTCAATCGAAGAAATTCATTTGCACAACGCCGTGCGCATGCCCGGAAGCCTTAAGTGGTTCAGCCGCCGACAGGGAGTATTTAAAGGGGCAGGCGCCCACGTAAAGACCCGCCCTACGCAAGACGTGGAGTTTCTCACTTAGCGGAGCCTCCTGGAGGCGCCAAGATGAAGCCATTGGGGAAGTGGGGCGGAGCCTGCTGGGTTGGCCCCGCCCTCCCGCGGCGTTTCCTAGTTCTCTGGTTCTTCCGTCGCCTGCTTCAGCAGCCCGCGCCCGGGCAGGTAAGGCATTCCTCACCTGCGCGCCTCAGTCAAAGGTCATCCGAGGTCCGCGTCCAGGCCTCGGTCCCTCTGCCCCAGGGTTGCCGGGGTCAGCTGAGGAACGGAAATCGCTTTATTATCCGAAAGAAAAGTTAGAGAGGAAGTGGGTTGCTTGGACAGAGCTTTCTCCTGAAGACGGGTGGGTCCCGGTGAATCTAGAAGTTCGTCGGCCCTGAGGAAGAGCCGGAGGCTCGGAGGGACGTCAGCCAGCTGTTCTGGGGCGCAGTCGGACTTTAAGTTTCTCACCTCCCTTGCTTTGTGTTCCGTCAGTCCCTTTGCGAAATGAAGTCTGTTTTCCCCAGAACCAGGAAGTCAGGCCATCACCTGGCAGAGATGCCTGTGACGCTGACAGCTCGCGGAGCCTACACACGATTATAATTCGCTTGTTCCTCTGGCTTCCAAGCTTCGAGGGAATTAGAAAGTGGAGGGGCTTACGGGATCAGATGAGAACATTCGCAGAGGTGGAGTGGGGGGGTATACCTGCCATCTTGGAAGCCAGAGGGGAGAGAGACAAAGGGATAAAAGCAAACCCTTAGAAAGCGAGAAAGCACTCTGAGCATTTTAGAATGGGAACAAATGGCGCTATTAGTGCCTCCAAAACGTAACTGCCCCAGGCCCCTTATAAGCCGAGGATATTAAAATCTGCCTCTTCCCTTTCTTAGAGTGTTCCTTGAAGAAGGCAGTCGGGAAGTTCAAATTTCTTCTGTTTACGTACAAAGTGTTCATTTGAAGTTTGCCTTATACCTCTCCAAACCGAGCCTCTGATGTTCCAGGCCGAACTCGCACCTTCCCGAGCCTTCTCCATCTCAGTAAACATTGGGAAACTTGGTTATGCCAAAAACCTTGGTGCCGGTCTTCTCACGCTCCTCATCAGCCCATAGCTTTCTATTGGCCTCACCTCCGAATCCTAGGACTTGCTCTGCTAACACCCTGGTCCCAGCCTCCAGCCCCTTCCACCTGGCTTATTGGTACGCTCTCCTAAATCCTCCTTTCTTGCTTCTCTGTCCTTACTCCAACATCCTTTATTCCCAGCAGCCCCAGTATCCTTTTAAGACAAGAGTATAAAGCATGTCTCCCCTTTTCTCAAAACTTCCAAGTGTCCTGGCGCGGTGGCTCACGCCTGTAATCCCAGCACTTTGGGAGGCCGAGGCAGGCGGATTACGAGGTCAAGAGATCGAGACCATCCTGGTCAACATGGTGAAACCCCGTCTCTACTTAAAAAAAAAATACAAAAATTAGCTGGGCATGGTGGCGCGTGCCTGTAGTTCCAGCTACTTGGGAGGCTGAGACAGGAGAATTGCTCGAACCTGGGAGGCGGAGGTTGTAGTGAGCCAAGATCATGCCACTGCACTCCAGCCTGGTGCCTGACTAACAGAACGAGACTCTGTCTCACGGGAAAAAAAAAAAAAAGATTTCCAGCCTCTGCATCTCACCCAGAGGATAGACAAAGTCAATACAAAAACTCTAAGGTTCTAGGAGACCTGGCCCCATTAGCTTCCTGACCGCATCTGCTACTTGCCTGTTCCCTCTTCTGCAATCTCACCATGTCCTTGCTGTTGCCTATTGGGCCCACTTCCAACCATTGCGTTTACTATTTCTTTTGTCTGGAAACTTTTCTCACAGATAGCCTAGTAGCTGGCTTTCTCATTCTTTTTGACCTTTAATCAAATGGCACCTTCTTACTGAGGCTTCCTCTGACTACCCTATTTATAATTACAACTCTTTCTCTGTTTCATTTTGTTTTTTCATTTCACTTGGCACCATCTAACATAGTATAGAGTTTATTTATTTGCGTATTGCTTGCCTTCCCCCATTAGAATATAAACTCCGTGAGTTCGGGATTTTTTTTTTCTCTAATTTTCCTAATCCTTCATCTCCAGGGGCCTGGAGCAATATCCAGCACAGAGTAGACACTCAGCAAATATTTGGTGAGTTGTTTTTAAATATATGCAAAGCATTTTTAATTACTTAAAAATGTCGTGTTGGATCGGTGTTCAAGAAAGATGTGTTATGTTTGGTTTATGGTACACCAGCACAGATCCCAGTTTGTAATAGGCAGCCCTATCTAATTTAATAGCTCTGGAAGGCTTCACCAGCTTTTGTTCATAATGATGATGTATCTAAAAATAAAGATTAATGGTTATGCAGCATATTTTGATAAGAATGTGTGGAAGTAAACAGAGTATTTTAGAAAGGATATAAATATATTAAAAGTGCTGTGGTTGATCAAATAAGACTGCCACTATCTGAAAAGCTTAACTATATTCTCAGACTTCTTATTTGTACCCTTTCAGTAGAGCCTCACCACTGTTCTGGAAATTGAACCTAAATACAACTCTGCACATTTCTTTTTTAAAAATGTGATATAAGAATAATTTCTGCCAAAAAATAAAAATTGTAGCTTTTTTTTTGACCACCTATTATGTGACAAGATTTGGCCCCTTGCATGTGTTGATTTTAATTCTTACAGCAATTCTTAGGTATTACTATCTCTGTTTTTCAGATGAAGAAAAGCAAGGTCCAGAGAAGTGGATTTACTAGCTCTGGTCACAGTTGGCTTTAGTTAGAACTTAGCCCTGTGCAATCTCAAAGTTCATCTTCCCTCCACCCCTGCACAATCTTTTTCTCTGATCAGAGTGCTAATGAAGCACGGTTTTAAAAGCTGATTAACACATTTGACAAGAATCTTTTGCACTCCTATTTTGGGCGTAGTACTTTGTTTGGAAAGGCATTGGTTTCTGTAAGCAGGTGCTGATTTTAATATACTTCTCAATCACCACCCCCTCACCTTTTGTACTTGTCTGAGTTGTCTTATTCGAAAATATGATTGGGTTTTCTTTACTATGAGAATTAGTGGTGAGAGGAAACAGTCATGAAGATATTTACTTACTTATTTGTAAGCAACATATTCTGTTCCACCTTTATTAATCCTAAGTGTACTAAGGTAAATCTTGAACAGTTTGAAAGAGATGATACTTTCTAAGTTTTTTTGCAGTCTCTTTTCATTATTGAAAATTCAGAAAAGCAAAATGAAAACAAAACGATCATAAAAGTCATCACTAAGGGATAACCACTTTTAATATTTTGGCTTATGTTCTTATAAGTATGTGGTTGGGAGTGGTATATGAATGTACATTTAAAGTAAAATTTCTGGGATTTTGAACTTCTGAGTACATGTATGGAAGAGTTCGCAGAAGGCCTTCTTTTTCCTAGTATCCTTACACCCATCACCTCTGCTTGAAGTCTGGGTGCAGGAGAGCTACCAAATTTATCCCTGGCCTTTAGATAGTCTGGGTTTTTTTCCCTCAATTCTTTGTATTTAGCTCTAATTCATAAGATTACTAAGCAGTTATGTCTTTTCTAGCTTTGTCAATCTGTTGTACCATACAGTAGAGAGAAATCTTCATAAATAAGAAATAACTTGAAGAGAGCAACTACAGAGTCTATAGGTAACCTAGATAAAATCTCTTAATTAAAATTTAAAAATCATCAGTCTTTCATCACAACCAGTGTTGTGAGTCATTGCTCAGGTGAATTTGGTTAGATCCCAGCCCAGGAGAACATACCATCTAACAGAGAAAGCAGACACATAAACAGTAATATATAACAATTGTTAGAAGAATGACTAGGTGACATTTTGAAGCAAAAGAGATGACTATCATGGAAGCTAACAGTGCCTTTTGAATTGGATTTGAAGAAATAATAGGCATTTAACAGGTGGCCTTTAAGGTAAGTGGGATATTCTTTTACCTGGCCCTAGATGACTTTCACTTCCTGTTTCACAGAAAAAATAACATTATGTGGGAACTCTTCTCCCTTCAAATATATCTGTATTCAAACCTCTGCTTCCTTTCTAGATTCAGAAGAGGTTTCTTTCTATTCAAGGCTGATTTTGTCACCTGTACGCCATTCATTATCCCATTTGTATTGCCAAACAGTTTAAGTCTTAAACCCTTAACACCAGCAGTTCTCAAAGTGTAGTTGGAGTCCCCAATGCTCTTTCAGGAGGTTTGTAAGGTAAAAATCACATATAGTTAAAGGATTTATTCAGAGTGCAATAGATTTTAATGTTCTAAGTTAACTGATACAGCTTCAGATTCCACATTGCTGCTTACCTTTAAGAAGTTATTCCTTGTCAAATTTTAGTGTAGTATCAAAGAGAAATATTTGCTACTTTGTGAAAAGGCTATTAAAATACACCTTTCTTTGTAACTATATGTCTGTGTGATGCTGGATTCTCTTCACATACATCAACCAAAACATACTGCAGTGGGTTGAGTGGGGAAGCAGATATAAGGATTCGGCTCTCTTCTATTAAGTTAAATATTGAAGAGATTAGCAAAACTTTAAAACATTGTTACTCTTCTGTTTTGGGGAAAAGGTAATTATTTTTATTAAAATATGTATGCTAACATGTATATGGTTATTTTAAATGAATTAATAAGTAATTTTTAAATTTCTCAGCACCAATTTAATATGGTAAATATTGGTAGATATAACGAACAAAAGCCCTTTGGGGTCTATAATAGTTTTTAAGAGGGTAAAAGGTCCTGAGACCAAATTCGAAAACTGCTAGTGCTTGCATGTTCTCCCTCCCTCTCTCCCTTTCTCACCCTACTCCCACCTTCATTTCCCCTCCCTTCCCACCCCTCTCACCTGTCTCTTTCTCTCTCTTTCTCCTGCCCTTCATAACCAGACTTCTTGGAAAATCTGTTTTTGCCATTCACTGACTTTTTTACTACAGCTGTTCCAAGTCACCAGTGGCCTTCTAATTTCAGAGCCTAACATATCCATCAGTGTCTAATTGACCTCTCTGAGTCTTTTATACCAACCTGTCACCTTTTCTCGAAGTCTCAAGTATGCTACTGTCCTGGTTTTTTCCTTGGTTTCATGACTAAGAAGTATTTTTAAAATTTCTCTCACATCATTCCTTTCCATTCTAAGCATTACTCATAGGTAACCTTATTTTTACTGTTGTTTCAACCATATATGTATATGTGTTCTTAATTTGTATGAGGGCATTTCAAAAAGCTTGTGGAGAAATTGAATTAAAAGATTAAAAATGTAAACTTTGGCTGGGCACAGTGGCTCACACTTGTAATCCTAGCAATTTGGGAGGTCCAGGCGAGCAGATCACCTGAGGTCAGGAGTTCAAGACCAGCCTGGCCAACATGGCAAAACCCCATTTCTACCAAAACTACAAAAATTAGCTAGATGTGGTGGTGCATGCCTGTAATCCCAACTACTTGGGAATCTGAGGCAGGAGAATCGCTTCCACCTGGGAGGCGGAGGTTGCAGTGAGGCAAGATTATACCACTGCACTACAGCATGGATGACAGAGCAAGACTCCACCTCAAAAAAAAAAAAAAAAAAGTAAACTTTATTTCTGAACGTAAGCTCCATGAAGTTTAAGACACTTTTGTAAGGGATAATACCAGCCATTTGGTCTATTTCTAAAGAACTGGGAGTCCTGGGAATTTAACCTTGTCACTAAAGTCTTTTCTACATTATTAATTGATGAAAAATGGATGCCCTATAAAGATTTTTCAAGATTAGGAAACAAAAAGTAGTCAGAAGGAGACAAATCAGGACTGTAAGGTGAATGCCTAATGATTTCCAGTTGAAACTTACAAAAAATTTGATGTTTGATGAGAGCAAAGAGCAGGGGTATTGTGATGGAGAACAACTCTGTGGTGAAGCTTTTCCAGATGTTTTTCTGCTAAACATTTGACTAAAGCTTTAGCAGAAAAGCTTTAGTTTAGAAACACTCAGAAAAGCTACTGTTTCTCAAAACACTCTAATAAGCAGATGTTATCATTCTTTGGCCCTCCAGAAAGTCAACAAGCAAAACACCTTGAGCATCCCTAAAAATTGTGGCCATACCTTTGCTTTTGACTGTCTACTTTCGCTTTGATTGGACCGCTGCCACTTTTGGGAGCCATTGCTTTGATTGTGATTAAGGATCATACCCATAAAATCATGTTTCATCTCCTGTTACAATGTTTTAGGATCTTGATTCTACTTGTTTAAAGTTTCCATTTAAAGCTCTGCTCTTGTCTGTAGCTGATCTGGAGTTTGGGCAGCCATCGAGTGGAAAGTGTGCTGAACTTTAATTTTTCAGTCAGAATTGTATAGGGTTGTCTATGGTGTTCGCTGTGGGTACTGCTGTTAATTATAGGTACTCTTCATTTAGGGCAGAAACAAGATGAATGTTTTCCCCAAAAATTGACGTGGATGGTCTGCTGTGGCAGGCTTCATCATCAACATTATCTTATCCCTTAAAATGAGTTACTGATTTGTACACTGCTGATTTTCTGGAGGGTCATTGTCCCCATAAACTTTTTGTAAAGCATCAGTGATTTCACCATTCTTTCAACCAGCCTCTACCATAAACGTGGTGTTTGTTCTAGCTTCACTTTTAGCAGAATTCATGTTACTGTGGTAGAGGTTCTTTTCAAACTGTCTTATTCTTCTTAGTGCCTCAAACTAGATTCTGTTTAGACATGGATGATAACAAGTTAGTTATAACAAGTTAGTATGAGTTTATTTTGGAAATACGTTTTGCAAAAACAATTTGAAATCCTTGCATGACTATTGCACAATATGCATTTTTCATGAACTTTTTGAAAACCCCTTATATATACATGGTGAACATTCTTTGCTGAAACCGAGCTCCTAAGTTCTAGACCACATATATAAGTACTTGGTGTGAAGGCCCCTAAATGGTACCAAAGGTAGATATTTCACATTTAACACAAGCAAACAAAAAAAAAAATGTTCTATCTCCCTTTCTTCTAATTGCTGATCTCTAGTGAAACCGTTGTGATTTGCCTCCTAAATGTTTTGATGTTTACTTCTTCATTCCCCTGCCCTATGCTTTTTCCAAGTTCTCATTTCAGTTCACCTCGATTATTGCAGAAGTTTTCAAACTAATTTTCTTGCCTCAGTATACATCCCTTTAATTTTTATCCAGAGGACTCCACTTAACCATATAAAATTATTTAACTTCCCTCCTAAAAATCGTGACGTGGCTCTCCTGTAACTTTTAGTATAAGTTCAAATTCCTTGTCTTACTATATGAGCTACATGGTGATATGGCCCTACTACCTTTCCACCCTTATCTCCTCTCACTTAATCACACAATCCTACGATCCAGCCATAGCAAGCTCTTTGCCTGAGACACACATGCTCCCACCTTTTCCCATGCTATTCCCTCTGCCTGGAATTTTCTTTTGGGTTTGTCTTCATTCCCTTTCATTCATCCTTCCAACCACCCACTCCAATCTAATCTGTCTTGATATCCCTGCTCCAGATTGTCTCTGCCTGATGCTCCTTTTCTGGGCCCCATAACACTCTTGCAGTATTTATCACTACCTGTCACTATGTGTATCCCTTGGTATATTGAATAGCTTGGAAACAAAGATTTTTCTCTTCTCTATGCTCCCATTTGTTACTACAAAGACTGACGTAAATGTTTGCTGAATGTATTCATGAATGAAAGGAAAGGAATGGTCTTTCTGAAAAAGAGAATGGCATAAACAATGCATTGTGTTATAGAAGTAGGGTTTTGTGGCATGAATTTTGGAGTCAGACATAAGTGTAAGTCTTGGATCTTTCACTTACCACCTTTGTGAAACAGAGATGATAAAACTGTACTGGGAAGTAATTTAATTATTCCTAAAACAAATATTGAACAACACCATTCTCTACAGTATGCAAGTCACTAGGTATATATTTATGAATAAAATTAACATGGTCCTGAACTCATGGATCTTAAATTCGAATGGGGGAGACAGTAAACAAGTAAACAAATAAATATATGATTATAAATACATTGTAAATATATGATTAAAAATACATTATGCAGTGGTGAAAGATAATTAGGTCAAGGGCAGCTAGACCTATTTAGATGTGGTCAAAGAAGTCCAAAGAGAAGAAGTGAATACTAGCATAGAAACCTATAACACAAAGAAGCTTTTTGCTTTTTACTCTTTTTTTATAGTTTTAGAATATAGTTCTATATGAACACATTATTTACCCTAAAATTAATTGTATTTTTGAAATGTATATAAGGAAGCAAAAATAATTGACAGAAGAATATCTGAGTCTAATTGTCTTAATTGAAAGGAAAGATCCTTACCTATTCAGAATGAGGGACATGAAGAATAAATAAAAATCATGTGGGAAGACGTAAAGGTATGAAACAGTCACTAAAGACAATGAGAGAAGACAAGTGGAAGGATTAATGGCAGTGTTGAAGGCCCAGTAGAAGGGGGTTACCATAAATTTGTATTCACATCATCAGCTCTGGTGTACAAATATAAAATTGTTAGATTTATTCCTGGATGCAGCTCTCCAGGATGGAGTAGCAGAAGAAAAGGGGGATTGCAAGAATAAAAATTCTGTCTGGAGAGTAGTTGAAATGGTGAAGCACAGGTTTTGGCATAGTAGCAAATGAATTATGGTCAGGCAGATCTCGTGGACTCAAAAACTGTGCAGAGGTCAAGGAAGAGCAAGCTATGTGAAAAGCAGGTGGGTGGACCATATCTGTTAATGCTACACAAATCATTTCAGTCTTTTTTTTTTACTTCTACCAAATAATGTTGTACAAATTTTTAATAGTAAATAAGTACTGATTGAGAAAAATATATTAAATTGAAAGGTAAATGTTTTTATTAATAGATTTGATTTCTGAATATGCTAGTTCTGATAGTTTGTTGATACTACTGTTAAAAGGAATTTTTCTGGTAACTTTTTTGCCTCTTTCTATAAATTTTACTTGGAAAATATCAGTGTCAGAAAAAAGTCCTCCAATTTGTATTGCTTTAATAGGTTGGAAAAGAAAGCAAACCCAGAGTGCAATTGGACAAATGAATTACAATTTTAATTTCATCTAAGGGTATCAACGACATGACTTTGGAATGTTTCTTTATTATGGTATAATCAGTTGATATAGCAAAGTGTGATATATAAACTGACAGATATCATCTCTAAAAGTACTATAAAATTTTAATGAGAGTTTTCCATATTTTAGGAATAGAAGATGAACAAACCCATAACACCATCAACATATGTGCGCTGCCTCAATGTTGGACTAATTAGAAAGCTGTCGGATTATATTGATCCTCAAGAAGGATGGAAGAAGTTAGCTGTAGCTATTAAAAAACCATCTGGTGATGATAGATACGATCAGTTTCATATAAGGTAATAGATAAAATTCTTTTTATTTTTGAATTCTTACATCACATTGTAGAATGATTAATAGGTATAAGTACTGTCTAATGTGGCAGTTTAGCAAGTGAACCTCCCTACTGTGGAGGAGACAATGGTAATAAGTAACCTCCTTTTGGTTCTTCCTTTTGCAATTTTGTCTTCTTTCTCCATATGTTAATTGGGCCAATATTGTGATCTTTCAAATAAGTTTTTTGGGTTAGAATCAAGATTCCCACCTTTGCTGTGGTTCTCTGTTTGACAAGCCAAGTGAAGTTTACTCTCCTGCACACTTCTCATTTCCAGGTTAAAGGAAGATGACAATATTATAAGAATGTCTAGTAAAAATCTGCAGCTTAAACTTCAAAATGTGTGAATCTCTAATATACTCTAACAATGTATTTGGGGAGTTTTTCAACTTGACATTTTAAAGTTGTTGCTTACAGGTATACACTTTTATAAACAGAATTCTTAAATCTTAGCCAGGATTACTCAGTGCTATCTTCAGATAATTTCAATTTTTCAAAATTCTTTACCCATCTCTGTTCAATTTAGTGTAAAATATGCATGCAGATTTTATTTTTGCCAGTCATTGCAGTTAAACCTATATCAAAATTTTTCTTTCATAGGAAAAGGAAAAGAAGACTATTTGTTATTTTCGGCATCAATCTGGGAAAGTACCTAAAGCTTTGGCTCCCTTCCAGGAAATGTTTCCTCATAAGAAGAGCGAACATGTTAAATTACTTGAAAGAAGCTTAAGTTTAAACTATGTTAAGCCAATATTTAAAGATAATTTGTTGATATTACTGTTAAAAACTTATGGAAGATAATTGGGGCAGTGGTGGTAGGAAGATAAAGCTCTTCTCTTTTTTAATTCTTTTTTCTAAGACTCCTGTGACACAAAAAGCTCTTTACAGAGTAATACCTGCAAATAATTGTTAAAAGAATGGTAGAATGAGAAAAATACCTGTTTGCAACCAGTCAAATGAGTAACTTATTCGTGCAAGGCTCATCACTGAACCTAAAAACATAAGGTGAAAGCTGGTTCTCATGCATGTGAGCAGGATATGCACAAGATTTTAAAGTATTATAGGCTGGGCACATTAACTCATGCCTGTAATCCCAACACTTTTGGAGGCTGAGTTGGGCAGATTGCTTAAATCCAGGGGTTCAAGACCAGCCTGGTAAAGCCCCATCTCTACAAAAGAAATAGCTGGGTGTGGTAGTGCACGCCTGTAGTCCCAGCTACTTGGGAGGTTGAGGTGGGAGGATCATTCAAGCTCAGAAAGTCAAGGCTTCCGTGAGCCATGATCATGCCACTGTACTCCAGCCTCAGTGATGGAGCAAGATCCCCTCATTGATAGATTAAAAAGTACTGTACACAAATTACTTCTGAAGTATGAAAGCAAAGGGTACTTTTTTAAAATGAGGAAATATGAAGTACACTTCCTTCCACCAAGTGATCAAACTTCAGCACCAATAGTAATGGTGCAAAATGCCAATATGTACCCCTGGATATGATACAGTGGGAAGGGCACATTATCACCTTTGTAGTATTTTTGCCAAAATGTTTAATGTGAATTTGATCGTGAGAAAGTAGTCTGATAGATCTAGGCTGTTAGACTCATTCTATAAGACATCTGGCCAGTGTTCTAAAACATACACACCCACAAACACAGATTGAAAGAGAGTATGCACAAAAGCCCAAATATGGCATTATTTTATAAATTGTTAAATTGATGAATCTAGGTGAATGGTGGTTCATTCTATCATTTTTTTCAACTTTTTTATAAGTTGAAATTTTTGAAAATAAAATCTTTAGAGGAAAAAACAAAAAAATGATACTGGTTCAATTTTTAAATGGTATTTTTCAAAACTAATTTTTAATTTTAAAGAAATGAAAAGAAATGGGATGAAGCTGATTTTGTGATTTTTTTCCCTCAATTTAATTACAGTTAAGATCAAAGGGATAATTTCCTAAGTTTTTGTATATTCCATTTAATTAAGCAGGCTAATTTATTAAAAATTAGCTATCAGAGTCCTAAGTCATGTGGGAAGTAATATAACTGAGTAGATTGAGAACACACTCTTACGTCAAATGAGATCTGAATTTGGACCTCAACTTAGGTACATCACTTTGGCTATGTGGCTATGAGATGGTTACTCTACCTTTCCAAGCCTGGCTTTTTCACTAGTAAATTAGTATCATAATCATAATGCCTTTGAACATGCTCATGTGTATGCATCCTTTAACACAAAGTAAAGACCCAGTAAGTACCCAGTAAATTATCATCATCTTTGGCATCTTTTTTCCTCCTATCTTTCCTGTCTCTTTGTAATTCTTGCTAGTTATCTTGCTGTCCCTTTTCTTTAGTGTTATAGGAGATGCTGTGGGCAAAACAGACAGGGGAGATCAACACCTATTTTCATATGACCTCAGTTTATAAATTCTGTTGTTTGAATGTGTCCCCAAAAGTTCATGTGTTGCAACAGTGTTGAGAGGTGGGACCTGAAAAGGGGTAGTTAGGTCATGAGGGCTCTGTACTTATGAGTCGATTAATGTTGTTATGGCAGGAGTGGGTTAGTTATCTCAGGAGTGAGTTTCTGATAAAAGGATGAGTTTGCCCCTGTCTTTCTTTCCTTCCCTCTCTCTCTTTCTCTCTCTCACACACGTGTTCATGCTCTTTTGCCCTTCCGCCCTTCCACCATGGGATGATGTAGCAAGAAGGCCCTTACCAGATGCAGCACCTCAATCTTAGACTTCGCAGCCTCCAGAACCATGAGCCAAATTAACTATTGCTTGTAAATTATACAGTCTGTGGTATTCTATTATTGCAGCACAAAATGGACTAAGACAATAGACTAATTTTGTTTCTTTGTTACTTACTTTTAAGGAGATTTGAAGCATTACTTCAAACTGGAAAAAGTCCCACTTCTGAATTACTGTTTGACTGGGGTACCACAAATTGCACAGTTGGTGATCTTGTGCAACTTTTGATCCAAAATGAGTTTTTTGCTCCTGCGAGTCTTTTGCTCCCAGGTAAACTGATTGTGACCAGGGTGTCCACAATTAAGGTGGAAAGACAAATGGAAGAAATAAAAACGTTTCTTCTTACTCTTTTTTCTCATAGTAGATGAAGCTTGCATTTGAGAGTCCCTTTATTTCTTTCAGCACTCCTTAACTCTTTAAAAAGCAGCACAAAGGACACTGTGAACTCTGCTACTAAGGTGATAGAAGCTTCGTAAGAGTCAGATAGTTTGGTGCCAATAGGAAGTTTAGAAGGAAAGACCTCATACATCTGGCTTAGGCTGTAAGAAAGTAATTATTCTTTTGAGCTCTTGCTTTTTTTCATCTTCAGCTTCCATCATGATGGAATTCTATGGTCATGATTTTTAAAAAATTATATTAATGTGTTAGTGTCTAGTTGCCTTCTTTATAACCTTTCTTTTTTTGCTTTGATGCCTTTCACACCAGTGGTTGTCAACCTTTATCATGGATAAGAATACGTAGGTTCTTGTTAAACATGTAGATTCCTGTGGCCTCTTCCAAATCCACTTAATCAGAATTCTGGAATTAGGTTCAAGGTCTATATTCTTAAACAAGTGCTTCAGTACCTTTGATATAGGTGGCTGCTGGATCACTGTTTGAAAACACTGCCTTACTCTCTCTACCCATCTTCATTATAACTTACAGATTCTTACTAGGTAGCTTCTTGTGTGTGCTATGAGAATATGGGAACAACCTGTAGAAACTGGAATGATACTAAATGAACCAAATTTCTAGTTTAACTTTTTTCACCAAATTTCTAGTTTAACTTTTTTCACAACCACTTTTTCTTACTGAAAAACAACTTGTATCTTACTTGGTTTGTTAGATGCTGTTCCCAAAACTGCTAATACACTGCCTTCTAAAGAAGCTGTAACAGTTCAGCAGAAACAGCTGCCTTTCTATGACAAAGACAGGACATTGATGACACCTGTGAATAATCTTGGACAAAGCTATATGCCACCTGACTCTTCAAGTCCAGAAAATAAAAGTTTAGAAGTTAGTGATACACGTAAGTAACATTTTCAGCGCTTTCCACTGGTGGATTTGTCATTAAGATAACTGGTGCTTTCAAAGAAAGCTCACGTTCATTCATTTGTGCAGCAATCACAGGCACACTGGCTCTTTTGGGAGTTTTTTCCTCCTGATTTATTAAGAACCATCTTCATCAGTGATTAGAGGCAATAGGACATGCAAGCATGTCCTATGAAAAAAATTAAGTAAATATTTACGTAACTTGGAAGGATCACTTTTTAAAATAAAATATGTGACTAGAGTTTTGGGCAGGTAGACAAGACCTACCCAAATGGGTGACTAGAATTTGGGGTAGGTGACTATAGTGTTTGGAGGGTAGGATCACCAAACCAAATTCTCAAGAAAAACTTGTAAATTGTATTTTAGAAATTGTTGTATCCTCTCCCATCTTGTCTAATTCAAAGTTATAAATAATTGCATATACGTGAAATATTGAAATGAAAACATAGCAGAATTATTAAAACCAATTTTTAAAATTTAAATACGTTTTTCTTATTTTGACATTGTAGGTTTTCACAGTTTTTCATTTTACGAATTGAAGAATGTCACAAATAACTTTGATGAACGACCCATTTCTGTTGGTGGTAATAAAATGGGAGAGGGAGGATTTGGAGTTGTGTATAAAGGCTACGTGAACAGCACAACTGTGGCAGTGAAGAAGCTTTCAGCAGTAAGTTATATTTTCAGGAATAAAAGGAAAGAAAGAGTTGCTTCCTAGTGTTCTCGAAAGTAGGCTTTAAATATATTAAACTTTAGGAAATACATTTTTCAGTATGTATTTTCTTTAAATAAACATCATTCTAAATAGTAGTTCTTAAAATTTAAAAATCTATTTAAAGCTATGGACCCTATCCCTAGAAAAATGTAGTTATGTACATATAACACAATCATACATACAATTTTGGGAGATACACAAACTAAAGTTGAAAAGCCCTGCCCCACACAGTACTTCATGTGTAATCAAAATTACAATGGTAAGATACCAGGAAAACTATTTTTTTAAAAAACTTTGTTTACATTAGTTTTCCTATTTAAAAATAAAGTTTAGAAAGTATACATTAAGAAAAAAGATAAAAATTTTTTTTTATCCATGTCCTTTGTTACCATTTCTATTGGAATATTCACCTTTTACTTATTGACTTGTTATATTCTAAACCTTTTATTAGAGCCTAAAAATATCAATAGAATACATACGTATGTGATAAAGATAGTTACTTTGTCATATACATTGCAGTGCTTTTGTAGGTTTTGTTTTCCATTTTGCATTTAAATTTGCTTATGTTTTCTATTTCCTAGAATTTTTTAAAAAATTTTTTATGTAGTAAAATTTCGTGTTATTTCATTTTGTTTCTGCAACAACTCAGCGAAATTTATATATATTTTTCATTCCACTCAGCCATGGACCTTGAGCAAATCACTAGAATTTCTAGATCTCAGTTGTTCTATAGATTGGTAAAGTAATACCTTATTATTTTAAAGAAAGGGTGATCAGCCAACTGATCTCTTGAGCCCTCTGAGCATTAGGAGCCTTAGAGTTGTGTGGTATTACATTGTATATTTTATGTCTTCAGGTGGTTGACGTTACTACTGAAGAACTGAAACAGCAATTTGATCAAGAAATAAAAGTAATGGCAAAGTAAGTCTTAATTTGGCAGTGTGGTATAGTGAAAAGAAAAAAAACAAGGAGTAAGGAACCTGGTTCACTCTAGAGTATGCCCTGAACTAGTGATGTTTGCACATATGTGAAATTAAAATAAAGTGTTTAGATTATAGAAACTAAAAGTACTTTTGGCTCCACCATTCTTTAATTACAAGTACTCATATGCCTGAAGATTAAATAGCAGTCATTATTTTAAATCATGACCAAGTTACATGGAATTTCACTATCATATCTTTCATTATCATCTTTTCTGCTTCCAGAATTCATGATTAATAGACCCTTATATATAAAGTAGCACATATAAAGGAACTAGAGTCATGTTATATGCAAGGATGCTTAGAAGGCATTGACCGTGTGTGCTGGAAAATTGTTGGACATCCCCTCAGGAAGAGTAGGAGGGACAAAGGAGGGAATGTATTCTAATAATTACAGTGAGTAGTAATGATTAATATTTAAGTTTGTCCAACATGCCAGACTGTGCTGTGTACTTTATCTGCATTGTCTATCTAACCTTCAGACCTGTTACAACTGCCCTTTTTGTTTGTTAATTGAGATGTAGAAACATCAAATAGCTTGTCCAAGATCACATAGACAGTGCTACAGATGGGATTGAAATTCAGATGTTTGATTGCAGAGCCTGAATTTTTTATCTGAATCCTAATGAGATTTATCAAATTATACCCATTGAACCCACTGCTGTAAATCACCAATCATAGTTACTCAATCTCAAGAAGAGTAGATTAGAATTGATTTCTGCAGAGTAAAAATAATGCCCACTGACAAAAGATCAAACCCTTTTTTTGGTTCAGGATTTGTTTTCTCCACTCCTACCCCTACTCTCCTGTCCTAAAAGTAACTTGTTCACAGTAAATAATCAGGAAAATATTTTTAAAATATACAAACCCACATGCATGCAGGGCTTAATACCTAGGTAATGGATTCATAGGTGCAGTAAATCACCATGGCATGTGTTTACCTATGTAACAAACCTGCACGTTCTGCACATGTATCTTGAAACTTATAATACAAACCATCTCTCAAATATATCACTCAGAGATAACCGCTGCTAATATTTTTATATACTTGCTTCATGATGTGTATGTAGTATTTTCCCATGTCATTAAAAATAATTTGAAAACATTTTAAATTATTGTACAACATTCTAGCATATGTGAGGATCATGTTTTATTTAACTATTACTAGGTTTGTTTTTAATATTCAGTATTAAAAATAAAGTTTCTTTAAAGCTGTTTGCACATAAATCTTTAAATGCAGTTATACTTCTTTCATCATCTAAGGTAAAGTCCTAGAAAAAGAATTACTAGGTAGGAATGCAGGAACTTTTTAAAGACTTTCTAAATATACATTCAAATGGCTTCTGAGATAAGTTATAGTAATTTGTATTTCTACAGGCAGTGTATTACAATTTCAAACTTTACTGGTTCCTTACTTTCATTTAATATTACTACTATTTTTTAATAAGTGCTAATCTCTGGACCTTACTAGCAGAATGATCTTGCCCAAATTTCTTAACTTTCTGTTCATTAATTTTCTCATCTATAAAATGGGATAATAGTATTTACTTCATTAAGTTACTGTGAGGATTAAGCAAAGCAGGTAAATCGCTTGCCATAGTGCCTCGTATATAGTATTAACTCATCAAATGTTAACTTCTTATGTTTAAAATGTGTCAATTTGGGCTGGGCACAGTGGCTCATGCCTATAATAATCCCAGCGCTTTGGGAGGCTGTGAGCAGATCACCTGAGGTCAGGAGTTCAAGACCAGCCTGACCAACATGATGAAACCCTGTCTCTACTAAGAATACAAAAATTAGCCTGTAATCCTAGCTACCTGGGAGGCTGAGGCAAGAGAATTGCTTGAACCTGAGAGGTGGAGGTTGCAGTGAGCCGAGATTGCACCATTGCACTCCAGCCTGGGCAATGAGCAAAATTCTATCTTGTGCCAATTTGGTGGAAAATGAGACACTTACTGCTTTAATTTGCACTTCTTAAAATATTTATGAGGATAGAAGTCATAGTTGATATACTGAACTGCTAGAATTGTGGATCATTTTGAATGAACAAAATGAATAAGCACTTAATAAAACACGTGCTAGATGTTTTTAGGCTGTCATGTTTATATTTGCTCATTTAACTGTCTTAACATTCATATCACATAATAGGTACTATTTTCTGCGTTTAGCAGATAAAGGAGCTGAAGCTCAGTAAGGCTGTTAACTTGCCATAGGTCACATATCCAGGAGTGGGCAGAGCTAGACTTTAAATTTAGGACATATAACTCTGAGCCCTGTTTTCTATATTCTGTACCACAGATATTTGCCATTTTATTATATTGTAGATCTCTTTAGTTTTATTACTCTCCAGTTTATAAAGACACTCATATTCGGTTATAAATAATCCAGTATGATTAAAGATCCAAAACGTGTAAATTAGATGTGATTCAAGATCATGTCTGTAAATCAGTGCTTTGAGTGTGTTAGAAAATTCTTGAAAGTATTAGCATAAAAGTTTCAACAGACTTCTTGAAATCTTACTTGTGCCATCATTGAAAATTGGGCTAAAGAAAGTAAGCATCAGCCTAGTCCTTGACCAAACTTATCGGAAGTTCCAGTGATCCAAATTACTTAACTTTTACTGTAAAATAGGAAGAGGTTTGGCCAGGTGTGGTGGCTCACGCCTGTAATTCCAGTACTTTGGGAGGCCGAGGTGGAAGGATCACTTGAGGCCAACAATTTAAGACCAGCCTGGGAAACAGTGTGAGGCTTCATCTTTACAAAAAATCTAAAAAATTAACTGAGTGTAGTCTGCACCAGTAGTTCAAGATACTTGGGAGGCTGAGGCAGGAGGATCACTTGAGTCCAGATGGTCAAGACCTCAGGGAACTATGACTGCACTGTACTTCAGCCTGGGCAACAGAGTTAGACCCTGTCTCAAAAAAAAAAAGGAGAGATTTTACTTCTATTGTTGATTAATATTGGCTGAAAAAAGAATATTTGCAGAAAATTATAGTTACTATAAGCATATATCAACATAAACATGTTAGAAATGATATATAACATACTACTTTCTTGCTCCTTTTTTTCTGTTAAAACTTTGAATAACTTCCAACCTACAATTGAATATATAAATATTTATTATAATTTTGGATGAAAAATTATTTGTCACAGGTGTCAACATGAAAACTTAGTAGAACTGCTTGGTTTCTCAAGTGATGGAGATGACCTCTGCTTAGTATATGTTTACATGCCTAATGGTTCATTGCTAGACAGACTATCTTGCTTGGTAAGATATTTGTTCATCACATTGTTTGGCTTTTTGTTTGTATGCCGGAATATTAATATTCATTTTGTTACTGGATTATTTAAAACAAATTAACTTTCATATTTCTTCTGCTCTATGAAAATTATATAGTTGATATGTGAACAACTGGATTGCCAGTCTATTAGGCGGTAATCTAAAATGTACAATTCAGTCAAGACTATGCTAGGGAGATGCTTTTATATGTTTTTATCTTCAAATAAGAAATGTAAGCACCCATTTGAGCTTATTTAGAGATTCTTTTTAATAATTTAAAATTGTAGTCCTAAATTATTAGTGCTATAACATCATATTTAGTTGTTGCCTAGAAAAATATTGTGTGTTATATATTCTTTGTAGATTTTTTATTATTCTTTCTTGTTTATAATTTGGTTTATTTCTTTATAAGGATGGTACTCCACCACTTTCTTGGCACATGAGATGCAAGATTGCTCAGGATGCAGCTAATGGCATCAATTTTCTACATGAAAATCATCATATTCATAGAGATATTAAAAGGTAAATGCTACTGTTTAAAGCTTTTGGAAAACCATCTTTAAAGAATAATTTGCTGTCACTCTATTCACTGTTTACATGCATATCTTAACCTAGTGCTTCTGGACATTTTCCCCATCACTCCATGGAAGCTCTTCTCACTAAGGACATCTGTAATTTCCTTTATTCCAAGCCCAGTGACCTACTTCCAGTACTCATCCTACTTTACCTTTTTTGTTTGTTTTAACAGTAGTTTATTCTGTTCTTCTTGACACTTTTGCCTTATGGAAATTGTTTTCTTAGTTTCTGGATCACCATTCTTTTCTGAATTACCTTCATCCTCCATGAGTACTTTTCAGTTCTCTTTCTTCTTCTGTATTTATCTAGCTAAATATTTACCTACTATAAGTAACATATTAATATATAGAACTCAACATCAATCAATCACATAATAATAGAATGTAAATGTGTACAGTACACACATATGTATATATAGTATAGTATATAGGATTAATATAAAGAATGTTTTCCAAGAAAGTGATATTTAAACAGAGATTCAAAAATTGGGCAGGAAATAAGTAGGCACAATTTGAGGGTAGCTGTAGAATAGAAGATGGGGAGAAGAACATTTTAGGCAGAAAGAACTGCATTTGTAAGACCAGTGGTGAGAGAGAATATGTGAACATGATGAGTTACAAGAAATGAATATGCTCTGGGAGCCAAGATAGGAGGCATTTGAGGCCAGGAGTTGCAGACCTGGCTATGTTGCCTGGACGACATAGTGAGACCTCATCTCTACAAAAAAAAAAAAATCAGTCAAATGTGGTAGTGCATGGCTATAGTTCCAGATGCTGGGGAAGCTGAGGAGGGAGGATGCTTGAGCCCAGCAGTTCAGGTGAAGTGAGCTATGATCATACCACTGCTCTCCAGCCTGGGCAATAAAGCAAGATTCTGTCTCAAAAAAAAAAGAAAAAGAAAAAAAATGAAGTAAATGCATTATGACTGAGATGCAGAAAGTTATGGAGTGGTGGATTGGAAGATAAAATTACAGAGGTGTAGGAAGCTAAGTCCTATAGGACTTAATGGACCAAGGTAAGGCTTTTAGTTTTATCACAAGTGTAATGAGATACCATTGAAAATTTTAAGTAGGAATGTGGCATCATATTTAAGTTTTGCAAAGACAACTTTGACTAGTGTAGAGAACAGTTTGTAAGAAGCGGCAGTTAGTGGGCTATCCTAGGTAGCAGTTCATATGAAGAGAGGTGAGCAGATTAGAAAAATTAAAATGACAGAACTTTTTGATATCTTGGTTGTTCTGGGGGTCAGGAAGAGGGAAGTTCAGGAATGACTCCTGGAATAATGGCATCAAGACTTGCATTCTGGAATGATTATGGCATGATTCTCTTATATAGAAAGGACTGAAAGGAGACCTGGTTAGACTGGGGTTAGAGAGGTGATTCGAAAACGTGAATTATTCTTTGTACCTGTGTTTGAGGTTGTTTTAAGATATAGAAGTAGACACGTTAGGCAGTGTGATATACAGATTTGGAGCTGAAAGTCTGAGCTGAAGGTATAAATGTATATATTACTTGCATACAGGTGGTAATTGAAGTGACTGTATTCACTTAAGGGGAGATACAGATTAAGAAAAGGTCACAAGATTAAGTCCTGAGGAACCCTAAGACTTAATGGCCAAATGAAAGAGATAATCACAAAAAGGAATCTAAGGAAGTACACATACAGAGAAAGGTAAGATGAAAACCTGGAGAGTGTGGAGTCCGTGAAAATGAGGAAAGAAAGTGTTTCCCAAGAGGGAGTAGTCAAAAAGGGTCAAGTGCTTAAGTCATTGGATTAGCATCATCATGGTCATTGGTGACTTTATGGAAACCCGTTTCCATATAGTAATTGGCTTAGAAATCACATTGTAGTTGAAAGAGTGAGAGCTAGAGAACTGAGATATGAACATAGACAAGTCTTTTTTAAGACATTTTACTGATGAAGGGGACAACTAGAAATAGATACGTCATTCAGGAAACTTTTTTTAACAGTAGCAGAGACTAAACTATGCTTATAGGAAGGATGCAGATTAAGAGGGAGAGGATATAATGGGTGAGAGAAATGAGATAGTGTGTTCAGTAGGATTCCTGAGAATGTAGGAAGCAGCCCAAGCAGAGGAACTGACCTTAGATGAGAAAAGCAACACCATCTCTTGTCCTCAATGTATTGGTACTTTCTCATGTTCTTACATCATGGTCTCTTTTCTCCCTGTATGTTCTTGTTTTTTTTTTTTTTGGTTTTTTTTTTTTGAGATGGAGTTTCACTCTTGTTGGAGTGCAGAGGTGTAGTCTTGGCTCACTGCAACCTTCACCTCCCAGGTTCAAGAGATTCTCGTGCCTCAGCCTCCAAGTAGCAGGGATTACAGGCATGCACCACCACACCTGGCTCATTTTATATTTTTCATAGAGACGGAGTTTCTCCATGTTGGTCAGACTGGTCTCGAACTCCCAACCTCTGGTGATCACCTGCTTTGGCCTCCCAGAATGCTGGGATTACAGGAGTGAACCACCATGCCTGGCCTCTCCCTGTATGTTCTTACTGAGTGATGTTATATTGATTTTAACTGCTATTTATATGTGAGTGTCTCTCAAATCTGTATCACTAGCTTTCAATCCTGGATTTTTTGGTATCCCCATACCCAAAACACTTCATCTGGGTATCCCACAGTAGCCTCTAAATCAGCATATCAGAAATCAAACTCATCAGCTCTTCCCAACCTAAAGTCTTCTGCATTTCCTTTCTGATCAAATTCTCTCTCTCAAGCTAAAGACTTTCTCATTCTCTATAATGTGCTAATTACAAAATTTTGTCAAGTGAGCCTCAAAATTTTTATTTCCCATTTACCCCAGTTTTATGACCATTTAGACCCTCATTATCTCTCATTTGATTTGTTATAAACCTTTGTAGTCAACCTAAATCCAGTCTGTATTGGTTCTCATCTATTCACTACATCACTACCAGGTCATGGTCCTAAAAGTGAAGTCTAGTAACATCAGCTTCCTACTGTGAAAACTCTGGCTGGTATCCTGTTGCTCATAGGGTGAAGTTCAAATTATCTCCATGTTTCTTATATACTTGTTCCTTGAAGTTGACCATGTATACCATATGCCTTCATACTTTCATCACTTTGTATATTTGCTTGCAGTTCCTTTCTTTCCCTCATATAAACATCAACTTATAATAATCCTTCAATACTAAGCACACTTTTCACCTTCTGTTTGAAACTTTTCCTACTTTTTCCAGGCACATGGTTGTTCGCTCAGCATTTTGTACCCAATATTACCATTATGTTTTAAAAAATTATTTATGTCTGTCACAGATAAGATTTTAAGATTCCCTCACATCCAGCTGGGAGCTTAAATACTCTACCACTTAGGGAGTTTTCAATAAGATTTTATTTAATGAAAGTTTGAAAGCATATAATGAATGAGATATTTTGGCTATATTTTTTTTCTTCAAAAGATTCCTGATAGTACAGAAAAAAAATGAATAAAGAAATGCATAATTGTAATATTTTGGTTGGAAATTTGTTTTTAAATGAATTGATAAATATTAAGAAAGGAATTAATAGCCGGGCATGGTGGCTCACGCCTGTAATCCTAGCACTGTGGGAGACTGAGGCGGGCAGATCACCTGAGGTCTGGAGTTCAAGACCAGCCTGATCAACTTGGAGAAACCCCGTCTCTACTAAAAATACAAAATTAGCCAGGCGTGGTGGTGCATGCCTGTAATCCCAGCTACTTGGGAGGCTGAGGCAGAATTGCTTGAACCCAGGAGGCAGAGGTTCTGGTGAGCCGAAATCATGCCATTATATTCCAGCCTTGGCAACGAAAGCAAAACTCCATCTCAAAAAAAAAAAAGAAAGGAATTAATAAAGGCGCTTTGGAAGATTTTGTAGGAATTTACCCTACAATAAATTATTTGTGGAATAATTAAAATACTCTTACTAATGTAGACAATTTTATTTCATTTTTATTCTTCTAAATTTTTTCCTCTAGAAACATAAAAAAGAGGACAGTTGCTTCTCTTTAGCTATAATCTTAGTTCTAGCTTTTTTTCTATAAATTTCAGGGTTGTATGATGCTACATACTATAAAATGTTATAATCTGTAAATATGTATGTACATATACATGTATGCTTATACATACGTACATACATGCATGCATCTAGCTAAGGAACTGTTTGACTTTTTGGGGTAGGGAAACATTTTTTTCTTCAAACTTTACTTTTTTTTCAGTGCAAATATCTTACTAGATCAAGCCTTTACTGCCAAAATATCTGACTTTGGCCTTGCACGGGCTTCTGAGAAGTTTGCCCAGACGGTCATGACGAGCAGAATTGTGGGAACAACAGCTTATATGGCACCTGAAGCTTTGCGAGGAGAAATAACACCCAAATCTGACATTTATAGCTTTGGTGTGGTAAGTTCCATACACATAATTAGTAAAAAAATAATCATTCTGCTATAATTGTGAAAGTGAAATAGAATATTATTTAATACACCCATCTTGTTTAGCTCTCTTATGTAACAGTATGTTTTCGCATTAACCTCTACTTAGGCCAGAAAGTTTATGAAAACTTCTTCCAATGTGTAAAACTTTTGAGTTATTTTTGAAATGACTATAAGAAATTATTTTCTTGCCAATTGTATTTATGAATTAGCATGGCACCTAATGCATTAAATGAATCATGTCATATAGTATATACCGTAGTCTCACATTTTTTGTCATTTACTAATCTACCTGTCTGTTCCCAATAACTTTTAAGATAGAGTAAGAGATAGGTGTGGGTGGTTGGAGATGCCAGGGGCTTTTCTTCCTTTTATTTTCTCATATGTGTTTCATATATGGAAACTTAACTTCATAGCACTGTGAAAATAAGGCATAGGGCTATAGAATATGCCTAATGTTTAGAAAATAATATCCTTCTGAGAGCCAGAAAGTTATTCTTGTGAAGAATCCCCAAGAGGCAGGAAAAGGATTATATGTTGAATGGGGCTGACTCTTTAATAAGTTGCCAAAAGAAAAGTGCTGCTTATGGTCATGATGGGGTCCAAGATGTCCCTGAAGGAAGGATGGTGAGAAATGCCCAAAGCTCATGTTCTTTCCACTTAAATATCTAAAAGATGTTGCTTTGTATGGAATGATTCATCAAATTTTATAAGCAAGATTCATATTCCTTCTAGTTTACATTTATCTTTGTCTTGAGTGTTATATATCTAATTTATTAGTATCATCTATAGTATATATATTTTTTAGAGAGACAAGATTTCACTCTGTAACCCAGGGTGAAGTGCAGTGGTGCCATTACAACTCACTGCACCCTCAATCTCCCAGGTTCAAGTGATCCTCTCACTTCAGCCTCCCAAGTAGCTGGGACTATAGGTGTGTGCCACCACAGCTAGCTAATGTTTTTTTTAAAATTTTTTTGTAGAGACAGGGTCTCCCTGTTGCCCAGGCTGGTCTTAAACTCCGAAGCTCAAGTGATCCTCCCACATCTGTCTCCCAAAGTGCTCGGATTACAGGCATTAGCACCATGCCCACCCTGTCTTGCATATTAACAGATTTTTTTTGTCTTCATAGGTTTTACTAGAAATAATAACTGGACTTCCAGCTGTGGATGAACACCGTGAACCTCAGTTATTGGTAATTGAAATATTGGTTTTCCTCAGTCCTTTTTTCTCTGCATTTGTAGTCACAATTTATATGTATAAATTTGACATCCAGAAATAACATCTTCTGTTGGCAGTCTTTCCATTGGCTATTACACTGTAGCATATGAATAGAGCATTAAATATTTGTCATTCTCAGCTCTGCCATGAAGTATTTGTGAAACCTAGAAAAGTCACTTTTATATTCTTTGTTCTGATTTCTTTGTGGGTAAAACTAAATGATTTCTGAGGTCCTCTTTAGCTTATGTTTATTTTGTTACTTTCAGGGTGGTTACTATTAATAACAGTGTTTTCAGCATTTTCAGAAGGGAAAAAAAATGACTTCCATTCAAATGTCTATCAGAGTAAAATTGCTAATAAAAGTTCTCTACTTACTTCTATCATGGAGTATTTTATTTACAAAGTTACAGTAAAGAACATATCTAATTTTCTATTGTTAGGAAAAATTCAATTCATGTTTTTCCTCTGCTCTCACATCACCACAACAATCATCACAGAAAATTTCTGTGACCAGATGTGAATGGGGAGGGTTTCTCCCCACCAACAAGCAGGCAATCTACTTTGCAGCGGAAGTGAGCTGGGTGCCCTCCAATTTAATTCTAACACTATGTTCCTGGAGATAGCATCAGAGTCAGATCCCACAGGTTAAGGGATCAGTCCCGAGGACTGCCATCCACCAGACACCAGTCACAAGTTTAGGTGCCCAGAACTTCTGACCAACTGCCTTCAAGTTGGAGTTTCTGTGACCTGCTTTTTGGGAATGGAGGGCTCAAGACTGAACCCACATTGATTCTAACTTGCAGCATATACTTTGCCTAAATTTGCCATCATTTTTGCCTAAGACTTTTTCCTTGAAAATATATAAAAGACTCAAAACAGGCCGGGCTCTGTGGCTCACGCCTGTAATCCCAGCACTTTGGGAGGCCGAAGCGGGTGGATCATGAGGTCAAGAGATCGGGACCATCCTGGTCAACATGGTGAAACCCCATCTCTACTAAAAATACAAAAAATTAACTGGGCATGGTGGCACGTGCCTATAATTGCAGCTACTCGGGAGGCTGAGGCAGGAGAATTGCTTGAACCCAGGAGGCGGAGGTTGTGGTGAGCCGAGATTGCGCCATTTCACTCCAGCCTGGGTAACAAGAGCGAAACTCCGTCTCAAAAAAAAAAAAAAAGCCTCAAAACTTTGGGTTGAGTAAGAATGAAATGCAGAAAAACATAGACTCTCAGTCACAAGTTTTGCATTTCAACATATAATAGTGAAAATCATAAATCTTTGGAGAAGGTTGTATTCTTTCACCTATTCTGAAGGTTTGACTGTGATGTGACTCTAAAGTAGTAAGATTTTCATGCAAGCATAGTTAAAAGAAAGTGATCCTTTGAAGAACCCAATGGCAATAGATTCTGCCATTGCCAAACATTTTCAGAGTTTTTGGAGAGTTGACATCCTACCTCTCATGAATAGTTTTTTTTTCAACTGTATTAGTTTCCTAGGACTTTTGTAAAAATAGACCAAAAACTGTGTGACTTAAAATAACAGAAATTTATATGCTCATATATCTGGAGGTCAGAGTCTGAAATCAGGGTATTGGCAAGACCATGCTTTCTCTGGAGGCTCCAGAGAGAATCTTTTCTTGCTCATTGGATATAGGGCTTACTTTCAGGATTATCCATAATCCGAAATGATCTCATCTCAGGATATTCGATAACATCTGAAAAGGTCCTTCTTTTCCTGATACGAGCATATTCACAGTTTCCAGGAATTATGACATAGACATGTTTTGGGGGGCCATGACTCACTCAGCTCTACCACCTTATTTCTACACTTCTCTCTATATTAATTTTTTATCATATTCTGCTCCCCATTTTTCCCCTCCCTTTTTCTCTTTGATTCAGAAATCTGAATACCCATAGAGAAGTTTGTTGGGTACAGGGAGGAGGAGTCTGGGTCTAGAAGTTGAAATTGCACCATTTGAAGCAAATCAAGAAGCAGACCACCCTGTGCTGCCCACCTAGTAAATGCTGCTGCTAATGAGAACATATAAGCAATTAGTTCATAACATAAATATAAAAATTGAAGGGCAAATGGGAGATACTTGCACCCATTTGCTTTTCAGTTTTTATTTATTTTATGAACTAATATATATAATTCTTATTTTTATATATTATATATTTATACATATTTTTATATATATGTTTATGTTATGAACTAATATATATAAATACATATATTTATATATTTAGACACACGCACACACACAGAGTCAAGTGTTGCCTAATGACAGGAATACATTCTGAGAAATGTGTTGTTAGGCAGTTTCATTGTGTGAACCTCATATAGTGTGCTTACACCAACCTAGATGGTATGACCTACTACACACCTGGGCTATATGATATTGCTGTTAGGCTACAAACATATGCTGTAAAGCATGATGTCCTGAATTCTGTAAGCAATTGTAACATAATGGTAAATATTTGTATATGTAAACATAAAAGAGGTACCATAAAAATATGGTATTTTAATCTTATAGGACCACCATCTATATATGTGGTCTGTCGTTAACCAAAATGTTAGTTTGTGGTAGACAGCTGTATTATTTATGTAGGATTTGTCCTGTATGTCTTCAGTTCTTTTTTTTTTTTTTTTAAATTGAGACAGAGTCTCACTCTATCACCCAGGCTGGAGTGCACTGGCGCAATCTTGGCTCACTGCAACCTCCACCTCCCAGGTTCAAGCGATTCTCCTGCCTCAGCCTCGTGAGTAGCTGAGATTACAGGCACACCACCATGCCTGGCTAATTTTTTGTATTTTTAGTAGAAACAGGGTTTTGTCATGTTGCCCAGGCTGGTCTTCAATTATTAATAAAGTTTTAAGATAAGATAGTAAAATGAGAGTGCATGTTACTACAAAGTAAATTAATTTAAATAATTAAACTGTATTTTCAATTTATTTCACTTTGATTTGAAGCTCTTAAAGTTTTAACACTCATTTTAAAGCTAGATATTAAAGAAGAAATTGAAGATGAAGAAAAGACAGTTGAAGATTATATTGATGAAAAGATGACTGATGCTGATTCCACTTCAGTTGAAGCTATGTACTCTGTTGCTAGTCAATGTCTTCATGAAAAGAAAAATAAGAGACCAGACATTAAGAAGGTATGAATTTTTTACACTTATTTAAAAAGTGAAAGGGGTGGGGTTCATCATATTTTCTTAAGTGCACAATTTCAAAGCAGCTGTGTAATATGGTTCTTTTGGTTTTTTTTCTCTCTTTTTTTTTTTAAAGGTTCAACAGCTGCTGCAAGAGATGACAGCTTCTTAAAACTTCATGGGACTAGACCCTTGACTTTTTATATACACCTGTCTCAACCATTTTTTCAACTAATTTTGTTCCTAAATATTCTTCTTTATCTTTAACAAGGCAGCCTAGTGCAAGACAGGAGTCATTAAAGCATAGGTTGAACATCCAACATACAAAAATAGGGCCATCACATCAACACTTAGCCCTACTCATTAGTATCACCCTCAGTTCTTAGAGTAATCCCTGCAACATCTCCTTCAAGCATCACCAAACTCAGTTTGAAAATTACAGGGCTAGCAAAAAGAGCCTTGCCTGTATGTAGGGTCGAAACACTCTCATTTGAAGCCCAACTGACTGCACTACTAATTTCCTGTAAAGCTTTGGACACACACTTAGCTGCTATGAGCCACTAATAACACTGGGCTAATATCTGCTGTGCTTCTCTGACAGGTAGTCATGAAAATCAAATGATGTGGAATATATACAAGTACTTTGTAAATTGTAAAATGATATAAAATTTAAAGTTTATAGATCCAGTTATAAAATCCTGTTACTCATTTTTATAGATTGTGTTTACAGCAATCATTTACCACAAGCCAAATATCCCTTGATGATACTGCCATAATGATATGTCCATTATTAGATTATTTTGCATGACAGAGTTGAAGAAATTTTGCAGATGCAGTTAGACTTCCTAAACAACTCCCTTTGAGACTATTGAAAGGGCCTGACCTAATCAGGTGAACCCTTACAAGAACGATTCTCCCTGTAAGCCTTGAAGAAGTAAGTACCATGTTGTGAGAGGGGTACATTGGCTAAAACCTAAAGGTAGCCTCTAGGAGATGAGAGCTACCTTCCAGTTGTGAGCAAGCAGGAAAAAAACATGGGACCTCACTTGCAACCACAAGGAATTGAGTTCTTCCAACAATCTTTGAGTGAGCTTAGAAGAGTTCTCTGAACCTCAGATGATACCACAGCCTAGGCTGATGCCTAGATTTCAGCTTTGTGTGATCCCAGTATGAGAACCTATCTATGCTGTGCTGGACTTCTAATATATAAAACCGTGAGATAATGGGTCACATTGGCCAGATGTGGTGGCTCACACCTGTAAATCCCAGCACTTTCGGAGGCTGAGGCGGCCAGGTCACTTGATATCAGGAGTTCAAGACCAGCCTAGCCAAAATGGTGAAACCCTGTCTCTACTAAAAATACAAAAATTAGTTGGATGTGGTGGTGCATGCCTATAGTCCCAGCTACTTGGGTGGCTGAGGCAGGAGAACTGCTGGAACCAGAGAGGCAGAGATTGCAGTGAGCTGAGATTGTGCCACTGCATTCCAGCCTGGGTAACACAGCAAGATTCTGTCTCAAATAAGTAAGTTGCATTAAGACTTTAAACTTGTAGTAATTTATTATGCAGTAATAGAAAACAAATACAGATACTCTCCCATGATGTTTTTCCCATGAAGATTTCCCATCATATTTACAGGTTCTGTGCACATTTGATGGGTATGCGGAAATTATACAGAGCATATGCAGTGGGGGACTTATAGTGCACATACTGAAATATGGGGTTGGACTATCTTCAACCACAGAGTCCCCAGCAGGGCACTGCCTAGTGGAGCTATGGGAAGGGTGCTGCTACCCTTCAGACCTAAGAATGGTAGAGCCACCAGCAGCTTGCACACTGAGCCTAGAAAAGCCACAGGCACTCAACTTCAACCATGAAGGAAGCCACACACCCTGCAAAGCCACAGGAATGGAGCTGCCCAAGGCCTTGAGGGCCCACCCCTTGTACCAGTGTGCCCATGATGTGGGACATGGAATCAAGGAATATGTTGGGGCTTTAAAGTTTATTGTCTTCCCTACTAGGTTTCAGACTTGGGTGGAGCCTGTTATCCCTTTCTTTAGCCAATTTCTCCCTTTTGGGACAAGAATGTTTTACTCAATAACTGCACCACCAACTATATCTTGCAAGTAAATAACTTATATTTTGTTGGAATGGCTCATAGTTAGAAGGAACTTACCTTGAGTCTCAAATCAGACTGGACTTTTGAGTGATGCTAGAATGAGTTAAGATTTTGAGGGACTATTGGGAAGGGATGATTATATTGTGCAATGTGGGAAAGACATGAGATTTAGGGGGCTGAGGGTAGAATGATATTGTTTGGATATTTGTCTCCCTCAAATCTCATGTTTAAATGTGATCCCCAGTGTTGGAGGTGGGGCTTGATGGGAAATGTTTGGGCTATGGGGGCGGATCCCTCATGAATGGCTTAGAGCCATTGGTGATGGGTGAGTTCTCAGTTCATGTGAAATCTGGTGGCTGAAAAGAGTCTGGACCTCCCCTTTCTTTCTTTTGATACTGCTGCTTCCATATGATACGCTCCCGCTTTGCCTTCTGTCATGATTGTAAGCTTCCCAGGGCCTTCATCAGAAGCCAGGCAGATACTGATGCCATGCTAGTACAGCTGCAGAACCATAAGCCAAAACAAACCTTCTTTCTTTATAAATTACCTAGCATCAGGTATTCCTTTATAGTGATGCAAAAGGGGCTAACAATATATAAATTTTTAATTTTTAAGTTATATATTGTACTGTTTTTATTAAACATTTATGAGTACTGTTCAAAGTGCATAATTTGTTTAACCCTTTTAACAATCATATGAATTTGGTAATAATATTCACATTTTACAGATGAGGAAATCACCTAAGATTATGTAGCTAATAAGTTGCATGCAGAAATCAGCATCTGGCATCAGTTGCAATCTTTACCATTAACACTATGCCTGTACATCATATTAATCATAATCATTTTCTCTGTCATGTGTTGAGAGTTATTGTGCCAAACATTGTGCTGTTTTATAAGCATGATCTGATTTGATAAATCCATAATGTAGGTTCTATTCTTTTACTTCTTGAGGAAATTGAGACACCCCAAAGATTTATTGTATTTGGACTGCAGTTCTCCATTCTTCCATATATTTGATGCCTTTTGCAATATGGCTTTGTAATTTTTCCCATCAAGAGATAAAATCTATTTCCTCAACCATTAAATCTGGGCCGGCCTTGTAACTTGCTTACAGCAAAAGTGATGGTCAGTTCCAAGCCCAGCCCTCAAAAGCCCTTGTGCACTACCTCTCTCATTTGGAACCCTGCCACCGACATGAGAACAAGCCAACGTGAACATGCTGCTGATGACAGACCATGCAAAACAGAGACAAGGCATCTCAGATGAGGTCATCCTTAATCAGCCGCCTGCCACCTGATCACAGACATACATGAGACATGAGAGATCAACCAACTATAGATTTGTGAGGAAGGATAGTTTTTTTTTTTTTTTTTTTTGAGGTCATAGTGTGCTGTGATCATGTCTGTGAATAGCTACTGCATTTCAGCCTGGGCAACACAGCAAGACCCCAACTCTAATTAACTAAAATAAAATAAAACCATATATTTAAAAAAAATTGATTAAACAGAAATATAAGCTTCATACACCACAGAAATACTAACATATAAATAAGTTCTGAATGATATAGCCTATGATGCCCACGTGCAAATTAATTTTTTTTTTAATTTTTCATTGCATTTTAGGTTTTGGGGTACATGAGCAGAACATGCAAGACAGTTGTGTAGGTACACACATGGCAGTGTGTTTTGCTTCCTTTCTCCCCTTCACCCACATTTGGCATTTCTCCCCAGGCTATCCCTCCCCAACTCCCCCTCCCACTGGCCCTCCCCTTTTCCCCCCGATAGACCCCTGTGTTTAGTACTCCCCTCCCTGTGTCCATGTGGTCTCATTTTTCATCACCCGCCTATGAGTGAGAATATGCAGTGTTTTATTTTCTGTTCTTGTGTCAGTTTGCTGAGAATGATGTTCTCCAGATTTCATCCATGTCCCTACAAACGACACAAACTCATCATTTCTGATTGCTGCATAATATTCCATGGTGTATATGTGCCACATTTTTCCAATCCAGTCTATCATCAATGGGCATTTGGGTTGATTCCAGGTCTTTGCTATTGTAAACAGTGCTGCAATGAACATTCGTGTGCATGTGTCCTTATAGTAGAATGATTTATAGTCCTTTGGATATATACCCAGTAATGGGATTGCTGGGTCAAATGGAATTTCTATTTCTAAGGCCTTGAGGAATCGCCACACTGTCTTCCACAATGGTTGAACTAATTTACACTCCCACCAAAGTAATTTACAGAATCAACACTATCCCCATCAAGCTACCATTGACTTTCTTCACAGAACTGGAAAAAACCACCATGAACTTCATAAGGAACCAAAAGAGAGCCCGCATAGCCAAGTCAATTCTAAGCAAAAAGAACACAGCAGGGGGCATCACACTACCGGATTTCAAACTATACTACAAAGCTACAGTAATCAAAACAGCATGGTACTGGTACCAAAACAGAGATATAGACCAATGGAACAAAACAGAGGCACCGGAGGAAGGATAGTGTTAAACCACTCCTTTTTTTTTTTTTAATGGTAGAGTCTCATTTTGTCACTCATGCTGGAGTACAGCAGTGTAATCCCAGCTTACTGCAGCTTTGGTCTCCCAGGCTCATGTGATTCTTCTGCCTCAGCCCCTTGAGTAGCTGGGAGTACAGGTGTGTGCCCCCATGCCCAACTAATTTTTTTTTTTTTTAATTCTTTGTAGAGACAGGATCTCACTATGTTTCTGAGGCTGGATTTGAACTCCTGGATTCAAGGAATCCTCCTGCCTCAGCTTCACGAAGTATGAGATTACAGGCATAAGCTACCATGAAATTCACATTGGGGGGTAGTTTGTTATGCATTAGTATGACTAAATCATGACTGATTTAGTCATGTAGCCAGTAAATGGCAGTCACGAATACACACACAAGGAAATGGCCCAGCTTGTCTTACTAATACAGCTTGGTATTAGAAAACCAAGAAATACAATCTCACCCACATTCATGGTTTGCCTCTTTCCATTAACCATCCAGAGTTCACTAAGAAACTACAACCTGGCTGAATCCTAGCAAATGAGGGTGGTAGTAGAGCAGCACTGACAATTGAGTAGAGGCTGGTCTCAGTCTTTTTGGAGCACGGAATCAGCTGAATAAGGATCCCTACTAGAAGGCTCTTCATGCTCAGGAATGGATCTATAGAGGTACTTTGAATAGTGGAACCCATGGCCATCGCAGGGCAGATTTTGCCAGTGCTAGTGAGTTTTGCTGTGGCCAGAAATAGAGTGATGGAGGGTAGATCCTCTGGTGACCCACCACTGCTGGCATGTGCTCCTTTCATGTCTGCTCTTCAAGGAAAGGTAAATTCATTTATTCATTCAACAAATTGAGAAATGCCCACTATGTCATAGAAACGTCTAGGTGCTAAGAATGTAGCAGTGAGTGAAGCTAAGTTTCTTGCCCCCGGTGAACTTCTATTTTAGTGGAGGAGACAATATCTGCACAGATATAGAATGCCTAAGTGCCATGAGGAGGAATAAAGCAGGATTAAGGTGAGAGGAACATGGCATACAATCAAATAGGGAAATTGGGGGAGACCTCCCTAAGGAGATGACAGTGACCCTTGAGCAGAGACCTGTGAGGAAGGCATGTAGATACGGGGTTAGAGTGATGTGCTCTTGAGGCTGTGCTTCGTCTACCAGAGGAACAGAGAGCTGCAAGTGAACTGAAGCAGACTGATAAGGAAGGTAGAGAGCTACTGGGCAACAGTAAGATCTAAACTTTCTTCTATGCGATATTGCCACTATCATAACTAGTACACTGCAAAACTTGTTTGCTGGCTGAATCGGGGTGGGGAAGAGCTGCAATTTATATAATTTAAGGTAAACTGTTCTCAGTCATGGCTAGCCATGAATCATTTATGGAACTATTTGATTCCTGGACCCACCTACTGGGTCAAAACCTAGTATGAAGCCCAGAATTAGTATTTTATTTTAAAAAAGAACATTCCATCATTACAATATATGGTCATATATGCAAAGAAAATGTGAAAGGATATACATCAAACTATTTAAAGTGCATACCTCAGGCACATGAGTTTAGTTCTGAGTAGAAGTGTCTTAGCTAATGTTTAAAACTTTTAACAATGAGCCTTTCTAAAGCTATTTCTGCATCTTTTGTAAAACTGCTACAAAAGACATCCATTTTGTTGCATTTCTAACAAAAAGAATTTGATAGCAAATTGCACACAGTAGGAGTGCATTCAACATTTTTCAAATGAATGAATACAATAGCAAGTCTCTGAAGAGCTTAGTGTCAAGTAAATTGGTGCTGGGGTGCTTCTATCACAGAAAATGAATTAACTCATGGCATTTTTATTATTGCTACAACAGGGGCAAAATTTTATATTAAGCACCCTATAGTCATGACTATTCTTGCCTAGGTTTGAAGCTACTTAAAATCCTTTTTGGACTTAGGCAGACTAATTAACAAATAAATGAATGGGACTTCTAACCTATCATCAGGTACTGAATTATGCAAAATTATACAAATATTTTTTAAAATTCTAATAGAAAAACCAACAGAACATACACAACCTAAAGAGAAAAAAATTTTATTGTGATATAAAATGCACTTATAAAATGTCCACCAGAAGGCATGTAATTCTTCACTGCTATATAAATTTATTGGGAATATGTTATTCATCTAGTTATGATAATGCCACCTAAAACATACTGTAAACGATGAGTTATACTCTATAACAAATGCATCACTGATTTTCAGCAATCATTGGTTTAATAATAATTAGTTTAAGACTAGAATCACATCTATATTCTGGAATGTCCATTTACTTTAATGTAGTGTAGAATTTAGAGTATAATTGCACATAGATGGTACAGAAAAAACATTCACTTCTATATTATTTTATACCTTCATGACAGGTAGTCTTCCTGACTGAAAATAACAGCTTTAGCTATGGTCAGCAACACAGCTCCAGGATTCTTAATGCAATAATTTGGGTGTCTGTATGTCAGTCTACATGTGCACCCACGGAACAACTTATATCTTTAGTAAACAAGTGCAACATTATTGTCAGTTACTTTGCATGTTTAAATATTATAGTCTGATTATTTGTAAACAAACAAAACCCCACACAAATACTCTAAATTCTATTTTAAAAATCTGTCAACCCATAATTATTCTAATATGCTTTACTTACTTGAACACAAATTTCTGAAAGGTGCATATATTACCTTAGATAATAAGGTTTAGAAATGAGTGCTTCACACTATGAAATGTGCATTTCTGATATTTGATTTACGCAGCATAAAGTTTAGATCAAGAAATTACAAATCCTGGATACCCACAGTTCATTTAGAAAATGCCTCAAAGTTATGGCTCTTGCAGCAGGTTTAACAGATTAACCATGAAGTGTTCTTGCTCCCTCTATTTCAAGTATCAGAGAAATACGAGGCTCAAAATCTCTCTAGGTTTTAACTGAAAATGCAAAGCATCAGAACAGTTAAACATGTTTTGAAATACAGTATTAACTGAAAGGAGATTATTAAGGTGTTTATCTGTGTTAGCCTCTTAAGTACTAGGACTTTAATTTTAAATCTCAGTATTTGCTCAGAAGTAATAAAGAACACAGTTTGCCTATAAACGTGTAGTTTTGGAGAAAAAAGTAAATCCTGATTTTTAAAACTCAACATTTTTTTCCTTTTGAATATTAATTCAAATTTCAATCTAAACATAAATGTTTGGCCACACAGAGCATTAGAAAGATAATTTACTAAAGCTGTTTAAAGTCCTTCAATGTCATCAGAAATCCTGTAGTATACAAAATATCTGGTACCCTTAAAGTTTCAGAGTGAGCTAATCTGCAATGTTAACACTATTTTAAAAAAGTCAAATATAAAAGGCTGCTGCAATATAAAGCACTATTTCTAAAAGTTGCAGACATGATCCTACAGTTTGACAAGAGTTAGCACAGCTACTCAGAGTAAGCAACTTCTGGCCTTTTCCAAGACACACACTAAGGTCTTTCTGTCCCACAAGAAAGTAGTAAGTTTATCCTTCAAGACATCAGACTGTCTAGAACTGGCCCAACTGTATAAAATTTTAAGAAGTATGTGAAAGTGTGGAATCAACACTATGAAAAGTGTGACAAAATTAAACATTATGTTGAACCCCTTTTCTAGCTTTAACTCAAAAATAGAAATCATGAGTCTTCTATAACATTAATTTTAAAAACACACAGAAGTGAAAAGTGCTATTTTCCAAAAAGTACAATTTTTTCCCTACTATATATCAACATGGAATGATTTCAGTTCTCCTGTACTAAAAGCTGGACTTTTAAAAAACTAGTATTGCAATGTTTAATGTGATGACTTTAATCAGTAGTAGCTTCAGTTTCTGCTGGACCCCTAATTAGTCTCCGAATTCCTCTTTTTCCTGCAGGACCTTTTGGTTTTGCAAAACTTTGCTTGTGTGCATGCTGCTTGGGATGTACTTCTTCATAAAGGAAGTCTGCAGTCAACTCATCCCCATTGTCTATCTCAATCTATAAAAGATAAAATTAGAAAGCACAACATTCAAAACCTAATACAAGCAACAAGCTGGTTTTCATATATATAAATGCTCACAAATAAATATGTAATACTCATTCCAGTAAGGAAGAATCAAGGGTCATATGAAAACAGTTTCACTTTCTTCTTTGGGGAGAAGGGGCTAAATGAGTTACTTGAATATATAATCAGCTACATTCACTTCCTTCTTTCTTACTGCTCCAATTTAAAATAGTGTTTAAAAACAGAAGCCACCATTATATTCTCAAGTTGCTTTGATACACGATTTATTCAAGAAACATTTACTCATGGCCCTTTTATCACTTGGGTCACTTGAAATCCTTCAAGTGAAGAGAGATAAACAAACCATGGGCCGAAGGCCAAATCTTGCCCAAGGTAAGATTGTTTTACACTTTTTAAGAGTTGTTAACAACAATAAGAATATGTGACAGATATTATATGTGGCCTGGCAAAGCCTTTACTTACTCTTTGGTCCTCAGTAGAAAGTCAGCTAATCCCTGCTATAGAAGGTGCTACTCATGCTAGAGTGATTGATTCTTAGGAACTTAAAAAGCATGAAGGGTTCAGAATCTAAAAACACTGGTAGTTTTTAAGGACCTGTATTTTTATGAGTTTAAGGGCTCAAGAATACATCTTTCCCCATGCCTTATCTGTATTAAGAAAATTTGTAGCTTAGTTCCCAAAATTCAAATGTTTATTTTATTCCTCCCTTCCCCCAAACTGGAAAGATTTCCAACCATCCCATAATTCGCAGTCATAAGGGAGACTGTAATTCCTTATTAATATGGAGTCCAGAAATAACTGCAAATCTGTAGCTCTGGCAGCACTGTCCAATAGGACTTTTTGCACTGCTGGAAATGTCCTATAAATTCTGCACTATCCAGTACAGTAGCCATAGCCACATTTAGCTAATGAGCATTTAACATGAGGTTAGTGGAGTTAAGAAACAACTTTAGGCCAGGCGCGGTGGCTCAAGCCTGTAATCCCAGCACTTTGGGAGGCCGAGGCGGGTGGATCACAAGGTCAAGAGATCGAGACCATCCTGGTCAACATGGTGAAACACCGTCTCTACTACAAATACAAAAAATTAGCTGGGCATGGTGGCGTGTGCCTGTAATCCCAGCTACTCAGGAGGCTGAGGTAGGAGAATTGCCTGAACCCAGGAGGCAGAGGTTGCGGTGAGCCAAGATCACACCATTGCACTCCAGCCTGAGTAACAAGAATGAAACTCCATCTCAAAAAAAAAAAAACAAAAAAAAAACATAACTTTAAATGGTATTTAAACTTAAATAGCCACATGTGGCTTACTAGAGAGTACAGAGATAGAGAGAAATAGGGATCATGATAGGTAATCCCCAGTCACTTAAAGGAGATCCTAAGGATTTAGGATGATAACAAGCAAAATAAATATTTTCATTTACAAATCACAATGCATTATAAACTACATAGAAATGAAAACTCTAGCAAAAACTGAAGATTTCAAAATAGGTGGGCTACCTTTCTGATTACATCCATTTGTAGTTGTCTTTCTACAATGTCCAGCAGAGGGCTCTTGCAGCTAGAATACAGCATCCGTTCTCTTATACTGCATGTGTATCCGGGCATTGAATAAATAAAAACTGTAAGTTCAAATAATAACAAATATAATTAGCAGCATATCAGTTAAAGCAAGTACATAAAAACTTCATAAAACTATAGCTAAGCCCTCTGGGCAAGAAATATATACAAATATAGGGCTAATATACCAATAAACAAACTTAAAGTAACATATTAAAAACAATGTATCATATACCTATGGATTCTAAATAATCTCCTTCATGGGAATGTTTATATAGAAAGAAATGGTAACGAGCTGAATCCTTGGGAATCCTCTTTGGCAAATCTTTTAGTTCTGTATTTGTTGTGTTGGCCAAAATTATAATTTCATTTTTTATGTCTATTTCCTGCAAATAAGAAACAATAAAATACATTCATTAAAACCATGTATAAGGAAATTAAGTTAAAACATACTTTAAAAAAAGACTAAGAAATAAAAGAGGAACTTAGTTCTGGACTGTTTGAATTTTTTACAATGAATATTTACAAAATGAATTTTAAAAATCAGAAAGCACATTTAAAACTTAAAATCTATTAGGAATAAACCCTATATAAGCCATGAACTACCAAAAAGAGCAGCCATTTAATACTCATTATACGTCTCTTACCAACTGCACATAGTTAAGCTGTCTGTTATTCAATTTTTCCAAAGCTTGAAAGGCTTCTCGAGAAATAGGAAATGCTACTCCTTGTAGTGTTTGATGCTTCGTGTCTACACCCACGTCAGTCTGTACCTAAGTATGACAGATTTAATTTACAGGTAAAGTTTAGCAGTTAGCAGTATCATATGACAAAAATAAGAAAACCCAACCTCTATAAAATAATATCATTCAACCCTAGCCCAACCTATAATTAAAATTATTTTTCACATTTGTTCATGGTCCTGCTAGCATTCTGTCAACATGCAGAGTGCATGACACATCTTTATGATAATGTTGGAAGTGAACATTTGAATAAGTGTACAGTGTTAGTGGGGTTTGAGGGGTTTTGTTTGTTTTTATGTTTGGTTTGGTACAATTTGAATGAGCTACACACGCTCTTTAGAGTGTCATCAGATTACACCATTCATTATAAAATTTTTCTTGACATAATTTATAAACAACAATCTACATACAATATGTATAGAACTTTACTTTGTTCTGTTGGACAGAAAATGCAACACAAACACCATGCACTGAATTGAAAGGAATACAAACAGTGTACAAAGACACAACACAGCTCAACAAGTTATACTACTGCAGAAGTTCCAGACTTAAGAGATTTCTTTACTAAGAACATAGTGTGCATGTATTGAAAAAAGAGAAAGATATTTCAAGAAAGCATTCAATGCACATAAAAGATTTTTGCACTTGATAAATGATAGCTAGTATAGGGTCTCATTTGCCGTGTTGCAACAGAAAGTCCAATAGAAATTTTACTTTTAGAAAAAAATATGAATGGAGATTCTACAGCATAAATGATACTGGTTAATGGAAACATCATAGAACATATGCGAATGCATACCCCAATATGATCCTCTGGGTTCTGATTGCAAGAAATAAAACAAACTATCAAACTTGTAAAAAAAAAAATCACATAAAAAGCCCTACTCAAATAATATGAATTAAAGTATGACAGATCCTTGCTACCAGTTTAATATTAAATAATATTCAACCATTCTCCAGACTGATTCCTATTAGTCTCTGACTCAGGCTAATTAATAGTGGTTTTGGCTCCTTATTCTTTTCTTTAAAGTCCTAATAGAAATACAGTAGTTATTCCAGTATATTAGAATAGCTGCAGAAAACACATTAAAAATAATGATAAACTACAAAATAATATGGCTGAAATGTATTGACTCTAATAAGCTCAACAAGTACTCAAATAGTAATCTTCCATATATCTCTATTCAAGTAGTGTTCATAGAAGTTAATTTGTAGAAATTAACTTAGAAGTCTCTAGAAAGCCAACAAAACAATAACCTGATTCGTGTAACCTTATTAGATATATTCTTTGCACCAAATGGGTAACACACGCTTTTTCTCTATATAATATTCAAAGTACAAAGTTAACAACGGTTGTACTTCAACAGGAGGATTTAATATTCTGACAGGAGATTACAGGAAAAGCTATTTATAAAATGCATATAAAGTTTAATATTCATGTTTAACTTTTCTTTTCTGAAAACACATTAAGCACATAGCCTTATCTCTAAACTAAACAGAATAAACCTAGCTACCTAACTTCTTTAATCTCTAGTTACCTCCACATCTATTAATTAAAAATATGTTATTTTCAAACACTTAAAACCTTGCAAAGGCTTTGAAGCTGTAACTTACCTCATTGATTTTAATCTGTCGTAATTCTTCCTCAGCTGCAGTCAGTGGGGCAGGGGAAGACTGTGATAGCAAATATTTTTTATATCCATGCAATGATACATCTTCCTAAAAGTACAGAATGGACTATAATCAATAATTCTCTAAAAGTAAAACTAAAGTGAAGTTACTTGAGGAAAAACAAAATCATTAACAGAAAAGATTTTAAATAAAAGTAAATAGCATTATGAATTTCAATATCTTTTTACTTTTCTTTAATCGTTAATTTTAAGTTTCAAAACTTTTTAAGGGGAGTACCTACTGTTCACTTCCTGAAGTTTTATAATTACTAAATCTTTTGTATGAGTTTGGTACTGGTAAAGTGAAATACTTAACCTGGTCATCCTTTAACTCTATAGGACAACTGTCACTAACTTCTGGGGAAAACTGCCCTGTGATTAATAATCAACTGCCCTATGATTATCTAATAATCAACATAATGATCTAATAATCAACATATTCATATTCTGAATACTATGTTATAATGATTTATATAATTTCTTTATTAATTATTCAGATATTAAAATTTTCATATCAAAGGAAACAAATACTACAAAGAGATCTACCTAGCATCAAAATTTTGTGATTTAGAAGACTGAGGCTCATAAAACCGAGAAACTGGCCCACTTCACAATTGATGAATAAGCAATATACTCCCATATAGTCTTGTGCTCTAACCACTAGATCATATGACTTTCTGAATCAGAAAAGCTCTGTTTAGAACAAAAAAAGTTGAAAAATATATTTCAATTTGTATATATATGTATAAATACATATATTTACCATATAAATACTTTAAAAGAATCAGTATGTTTCAATACCACTTACTGTCAATGTCAAATAGATGCAAATGAATAAACTCAGTTACATATTCATTATAGTTAACTTTATATCATATGAAATATTTCTTATTCTCATGTTTTCAGAATATCCATCTGAATTCATATCAATTACCTATTACCTAGGAGTTCTCATCTTTAATCATTTTAATTGCAACATATAGAGTCCACATAAAAATATAATACCTTTACTGTTCCAAATACTTCATCTTTAATGTGGCCACCTCCAAATTCCTTTTTCAGAGTTGCTCTTGTTGCTGCATACAACATTTTTTGACGAACCTATTCAGTTGTGAAAGTTTACTTAGAAGTTTATAGGCAAAAACATAAGATTACAAAAGAAAGCACATTCTGAATAAATTAAAATCCTGAAGCATATTAAAAATAAAACTGAGCATAAGTCCACTGACTATAATATGTTAAAGTACATGTGTACAAATAACCATCATAACATGGGCATCTAAACTATCAACGGCTATTAAGACAGCCTTTAATTTACAATGTCACTTTTTTTTTGAGATGCAGTTTCACTCTTCTTGCCCAGGCTGGAGTACAATAGCATGATCTTGACTCACTGCAACCTCTGGCTGAGGCAGGAGAGTCGTACCGGGGATTCTGCTGCCTCAACCTCCAGAGGAGCTGGGATTACAGGTATGTGCCACAATGCGTGGCTAATTTTTTGTATTTTTAGTAGAGACAGGTTTCACCATGTTGATCAGGCTGGTCTCGAACTCCTAACCTCCGGTGATCCACCCACCTTGGCCTCCCAAAGTGCTGGGATTATAGGTGTGAGCCACTGTGCCCAGCCACATTTTTTTTTTTAAGTTAAAAAAAATAAATTTCAAAAAATTCTTCATTTTTCAAACTCATGAGTTCAAGAATAGAAAATTAAAATGTGAGGAACACTGAAATGAAGTAATTTTGGTAGTGACATTCTTCTCAAAGCTGTATCGGGTATTAACAAACTAAGTTGTTAAGAAAATTCATGGCTTACCAATGGCATATACCATCCTAGGAGGGACACAGGATTGGAAAAAAATGTAACATATACTATTATTAAAGTATCTACTGGAAACTATGGAAAGCTATGAAAGATAACTACCAATTAACAAATAATTTCATAATCCCACATGGTCAAATCCAGTATTTCTTTCAGACAGAACATGTGGAGTTAAAGAGGAATAGGATGATCTTTTGAGAACAGTATGTAGATAACTTTAAAAACCATTATTTTTTTAAGAAGAAAGATTCAAATTAATTTTTAAAATATTGGGCTGTGTTCATATATTAATTTTGTCCATTTTTCTATTTAGTCAATCTACCACCAACTTTCCTAAAATACTTGTTTTTGTATGTAAGCCCATCACTTGAATGGTAGTGACTAATAAATACGTGATAATACTAAAAAAATGTAATATTATGTTCAACTAGTTCTCAGATTTATTACAATTATTACTCTCAGGGCCAAGCAGTTTGCATGGAGTCATTTTTAAAACTGTCACAAATTATGCTGGACACAGTGGCTAATACCTGTAATCCCAGCACTTTGGGAGGCCGAGGTGGGTGGATCACTTAAGGCCACGAGTTCAAGACCAGCCTGGGCAACAGAGTGAAACCCTGTTTCTACTAAATATATAAAAATTAGCTGGGTGTGATGGCACATGCCAGTAATCCCAGCTACTCAGGATGCTGAGGCAGGAGAATAACTCGCATCTGGGAGGCAGAGGTTGCAGTGAGCCAGGAGTGAGACTTGCCTTAATAATAATTTTTTAAAGTTGTCACTGCCACAAATTTTTAAATTTTAAATGAGTAATAATTATTTTGATTTCAAGGACAAAACTCCTGAATCTGAGTACATTATTCCTGATTCCACATTATCAATCCAAGGATTTTCCTTATGATCATTCCCTTCTATGGGAAATGATTATTGCCTTTATTTGGCCTAGAAATTTCAAAAACATCTTTCTAGCATTTAATGTAAAACAAACTACAAAGAAGTTACTTACATGAGAATGATCTGGAGACCATGCAATGAATATCCACTCATAGCCCTGGGCATTCTGAGAATCTAACCTGAATAATATATAGCATGGTTGTTTGTCTTCCAACAGGGGTAAAACAAAGGAATCATAATCCTTATCCCAGGAATCTGAAGGCTGACTACACGATCCAATCACAAGTTGCTCTATGAAAAATTATTTTTAGAAAGACAGGTAAATGGTTTGAAAAACCAAGTGGTAGTGTGATGAAGACTAGAAAAATAAAATGGTAGTCATTTCCCAGTTATTATTATTCACATCAACAAGTCAAAAGGAAAAATGTGGCAATATAGAAAATAATTATGATATCAAGCATTATAAAAACAGATAACATTTTACGAACATGGTTAAAATTTTTAAATATACACAGCCTAAGAAACATACAAAATTGATCATAATATTGAATTGAATGATCAAATAATGGGTGGTTACATTTCTATTTTCCAAAATGTCTGTGCTTAAGTTATCCACAAAATATATTTAAACTACCATTCAAAGGTATAATTTCTGAAATTAACACTAAATTGTACAGTAAAAAATATTAAAACCAGGTTTAACTCCTATTTATTTGGCCATAATGCTCCAGATTTAAACATTTGCCTAGATGGTATAGCCACTTTGAAATGCTATTCGACAGAATCAAATAAAATTGTGAATCTACTTTGCATACAGAATCTCTTATACATAAGTACAAAGGTGTTCACTGCAGTACTATACAGTAACAGTGAAGACTGGAAATAGCCTCGATGATCATCAACAAGACACTGTAAAAACATTCTGTTCAGATTTAAAATTAATTATTGAGATATCAAAACTAATTGCAAATGTAACATTTTGAGAAAAAGGAAAGATCTAGAATAAGATGGTATCATGCAGTTTATGTGAACTCAAAGAGCAGTATACGCTATTTAGAGATACATATAAAAAAAGACTGCACAAATATCAAAACTCCTAATTCTAGTTGCCACAGGGGAAAGGGATCAGAAGTAAAATTGTTTAAAGGGGATGCTCTTATACCAGAAAAACACTGAATTTTCTAAAATGCTTTAAGTAAATATAAAATGTTATCAATTATTAATAAAGGGGAGATATAGGTATTTATGATTTTAGTCTTTGGAATTTTCCTTTTTTAAAAATTTTCACAAAACAAAAAGTAAAACTAGAAAATAATAATTTAGGAAATAGTGGCATTTTCCTTCCTTAGAGATGCTAGATTAACTTTTCCATTTTAATTCCTTAGTCACTTAGGAAATGATGGCATTTAAAGTTTTGGCCCAGTATTTTTAAAATATGCTGCTTTACAATATACTATACTCCTATTGAATGTTATTTGTAAACAAATGCATATTTTATAAACTATTCTGGTTTTAATATATAAGCAAAAAAACAGAAAACCAATTAGATTTAATTCCAGTTTGTGAAAGAACAAATTACTTTTCCAAAGCAAAATATTTCCAGATACTTAAGAAGTTAGGCCACTGGAATATTTTAACATATTCTTTGGGATTGAGTAGCTATAACAGAAATTGTTCAAATTCAGATCTGCCTGACTTAAAAAATTCTACCACTCAACCAGATTCCCTGCTTAAAGAATTATTTTTAAAGAATCAATTTGTAGTTTGTTATAGTCTCAGAACTTTCCCAAAACAAGAAAGGGTAATGATCATTTCTGTAGCAAAGGTTGCAATCAAATGAAGAAAATGGGAGATTGAAATCCTTTGTTTCTATTTCAAAACAAACTTTACCGAATAATTCACAAGTAACTATTGTTTTTGATAATCACCTGTTTACTGATTTCCATTCCACAGATGGAAGCACTGACATTAGAAATGGACTGTAGTGCAGAAACTGAGACACAAAAAGTAAAAGAGGAAGAAGTCACATCAAAAAACATCTATTTCCTTGATAGTCACAGAATTGAGAATGAAATCAGGGGCCCATAGGGACCTGCACAATATATGAGGAATCCAAGTTACCGTAAGGTAATATCTGAACTTGTTTCACATTAATTAATAGTTCAAATCACTGACAACACACAGTAAATTTAAAAATACAACAGCCACTAATCCAGGAACAAAAAATATTTTAAAATATTTAACTAACCATTTTCAATAGATATTTTCAGAAGTCTGTACTTTCCATTTCTGGCTCTGGCAAAGATCTCTTTAACATCTTCACTTGCTGTGAAAAAAGATAAAGAAAGTAAACTTTTAATACTTACATATGAATACTTTGCTATCTATATGGGAAAAAATTATTTAGAATACAAAGAAAAAATCTGGAGCATGTAGCATCCTTATTATCAGTATTATAAAACTAATGGCATAAAATAATGAAGACTATACAATTAAGAAATATAAACATTTTTAAAGTATGCTAATAATTTGAATCTGTTTTAGCTACATAATTTTGTAGCAGAAATAACACAGGGATGAACATACTGAAGTTACTCAAACCCAATAATGAGCAAGTTACAATTTTGAAAAACTTGTATTGCTCTTTGGAAAAATACTGAGAACCTGCTTTCATTCTCTAATTCAGTTTCAAGCTTATGATAGCCACCTTCTTCATCAGTTCACTTTATTTTCCCGTTAAAAACAACAGTATATATCAAATATCCTAACTTGACTAAAGAAAAGGCAATGAAATGCATTCAATCTTACTTCAGGTTATATTTTTCTAACGTGGATTTCTCAAAAGCTAGATTAAACTCATTGAATAAATATATATTTAATAACTAACACTTGTGTTCCAGTAAAACTTCAGTTTCGTTCTAATTTCATTTCTGTGTTGTCTATTAACAGCAAGAAACCACTATTTAAGTAGGTAGTGCTTGCTATAAGGCTCAAGCATGAAAGTCAGTAACTATATATTTACATATCGAAATTAATACGGATAAATAAAACAATGCTTTCAGATTTGAGACTACTTTGTTTTTGTGAGTGCATGCGTGCAGAGGGATGTGTGGGGTGGTATGAAAAATCTTTTAAGAATAAAACATGCAATTAAGTGTTCATCTAGGAGAACTCGTAATTGACAGGAGGAGCTTGAGTTTATACTAGAACTCGTTAAGTGATCGCTAGTAACCCGGGGATATATTATTTGACTCTTGATGAGGTGAGCACTTCTAGACTGCCCAATTTCAAACCAGGAAATAATGGAGGTCAGATATAACTGCACGTTCAACTGTCTGCACGCGATGATTACGTGCAACCATATAGATCAGGATTTCAGTTTCCCTTGGGGAGTACCTAAAGATCAAAACACACTCCACACCCGGGATTTCTCAGAACATAATTCACTTTCCTATTTGGGAAGAAAATGCCGGAGAGTTTTGGGAAGCACTCCTACTGATATGAGAAAGATTCTGGCGTGTTTCTTTCTGTAATCAAAGTCCCGTAACATTCTCTTTTGCACCACGAAAAGGAAAACTTGCCTGGCTGTCGACAGCGTAGGGAAGCCCCAGTCGCCCTCACTGTCCCAGCTCTTCCCTACCTGACCAAAAGGGGGAAAGTTGAACTAATGTCGGGGACGGTGGAGGGCACGCCCCCTTCAACCAGGCCACCTCGAAATCCAATTTCCTTCGCTCCTCCGAATTTCGGGTCCATCTGCAACGTGGCAGCAGCAGGGCCCGGGCTGGAAGAGGACGCAGGCCGGGAGCGCCAGGGAAGCAGGAGCACGGAGCAGCACTGAGGCCCGGCTCGCCCCGCGAGGCAGACTCCCGGAGCTCCGGGTCCGACTCCAGCGCTGTCCGCCCTGCAGCCCACCCGGCTCTCCCGAGCCTCTGGGGAGCCCCTTCCCTGCGGGTCGCGCCGGGCGCCGTTACCTTGGATGCCGGTCTGGTGGGACATGGCGGCGGCCGCTGGCTCCCGGCTCCGGAGCTGAGTGCAGCGAGCGGCCCCGGCCGGCGGCTCCAGGAAGTGGCTGCTCCTCCGCCCGCCCCGGCGCGTCATCCGTCCGCGACCTGCGGCCGCCCCGCCCCGAGAGGCCGACTGCGTGCCAGAGCGACCCGCCGATCTGCTGCTGTCCAACCCCCGGCCTCGCGACCCTAGTTCTCTGCCTAGGGTCTTGCCTCCGCTCTTGCTGTCGCTTCTCCGGCTTCTCCTGGGGAAAATGCCGCAGAACCGAGAGATCTCAGTGCTCCGACGTCTGCCCTCTAGCGACCCCGCCGACGCGCCATTCGCTACTCAGCAAAGGGATGCTCAAAAACGGAAATGATCATTTTATCAAACAGGCATTTTTCAGCTTGAAAAAGATGTGCACATTATCGTTTTTGGTTTACTCTTTCTATAATCGATACCATTTAGTGTAGAAAAGCCTTCTCCTTGCTCCATTGTTTTAAAAGAACGAATATACTATAAACTGTCTCTCATCAAATTTTTCCACGATTTTAATTGAGTTAATCTCAGACTGTTAACTTTTCTTTTCAGCTGGACACATTTAGAGACCTAGCGTATCTATCTCTTCATTCCAAAAAGAGACAGCCACTAAGAGAGATTAGCTGATTTGAGTATTCCTCTGTGGTCGATTATACTATTTTACTGCTTTGCTTTAGGTTGACTGTTTATTGTTTAATCCAATAATTATTCAAAATTCACTTGGACAGATTTGTAAGGTAACAGCAGATATTACTTAAAAATCTTTTCCAATCCTGCTTTTAAAAACGTTTCCCTCTGAAGGGTAATGTTAGTTTTTGAGGGTTGGTTTTTTGTTTTGTTTTGTTTTGTTTTTGGTACTGCTTCTCTTCTGCTACTAGGTGCAGAACTAAGCTAGTTCTTATTTTGGGGGCCTTGACACACAAAATTATAATCTGCCAATGAACAAGTAATTTATTCAGGTCAATAATATAAGTGCAAGTTAATCAGTGTTCAAATACTATACAATGTCTTTTTAATGAATGATTAACAGGCCTGCAATTGTTTTTCTTTACAAGGATCACAGGAAACAAGGTTATGTTCTATTCCCTATTATCTGAGCTCTGTTTTTCAGACATACCCTCATATTCAGGAATAAACTAAATTTAATCTGAGTTTTATGACTTGTATGGATTTAAGAAATATAGGGAGGAGTTTCATTCTAACCAAATTCTTCCTGACACAATGGTTCACCCTGATTTGCCAGTTTTTAACTACATTGCTGAGCAGAGAGAAAATTGCATTGTTCACTTGCAGTGTTTTGACTGATTCATATCCTGGTGCCTCAGGGAAGTTGCTTAAGAAGGTTGGCCTTGCTCAGAAGTACTGATGACAGAAATATAATTCTTCCATATTCATGCTTGGGAAAGACCACTGTATGTTCAGTCTTGAAGAAGAGGGATGTCCATTTAGGTTGGGACCACCCCAAAAGCCACCAGAAAGTGCTAATTTACTGCCAGTACAGTAGTTTGACTTAAAAGCTGCAAGGGTCTTGGTGCCTTGCTCTGCTCTAGCCACAAATATTTTCCCACTTTTCTTCATCTATTGTGTCTCCATTTAGTGAACATTTGCCAGACCTGTCATGAGAATAATACTTTAGAATTGTATGGTAGTTTACAGTTTTCAAATAATATATAATAGATTATTTAAGTACCAACGTAATGCTGTGTGACGGGCTGAACAAAATACCAGGTTTTGTTTTTTTAACTTAAAAGATTTGGAAATTGAACCATAGCATGGGGAAATCAGTAGGTTTCAAGGCTAAGACAAATGTCTATAAGAAGCAAACCATTTTTAGACAATATATGCAGATAAGAGGGTTTATTAGGAGGCTATTGGAGAATCTTATGGATCTTGACAATGTGGTTATCACGTCTACTTTTCTCTTCTTTTTTTCCAATTAGGCTCTCTCTACTTGTGCAGTCAAAATGGCTGAATACAGCTACCCTACACTTTCCAAATTGACAGGGTTGTAGCTGCATGCAGAGATTGAATAGCTCTTCTCAATCCAAGTTTAAAGTCCCTAAGAGAAAGCGTGTGAATGATGCTGCGTGGCTTATGTCAAATCATCCTTGGCCGAGCTGGCTGGTTTACCCAATACACACTGCCCATGAGTGAAAGGCAATTATCACAGGAGGGGAGATGAATCTTGGGTGTGGGAAACAGGCATAGAATTCCTACTTTTTATAATTTGTTAGAGCTAATGTTTAGAACCTATAATGGTGGTCACAAAACACAAATGCTTATAGTGGCAGTTAAATAACAAGTGATTGCAGCTAATAAATGGAGACTGTGGCAATGAGAGGGAACACAGGATCTATCTAAAAGGAGCTACCACTAGGCCAGGTGGGGTGGCTTGCCTCTCTAGTCCCAGCTTTCAAGAGGCTGAGATGGGATCACTTGAGCTCAGGAGGTAGAGGCTGCAATGAGCCATGATCACCCCACTGCACTCCAGCCTGGGCAATAGACCCTGTCTCAAAGAAAAAAAAAAAAAAGAGGCACTACTGCTCAACTCTGGCTGGCTGATGCTCTGTGGGAATTCAAGTGCAAGATGACCAATCTTATAATTTGCAAGTGGTGTTGGAACTGGGATTTTATGTAAAATCTCTATTTTGATTATGTAGGAAAACAAAACAAGAGGACTGTAACTGCAAGTCAGATTTGACCTTTGAAATGTAGTTTAGGACTTCTGACCTAGATCTTCTGTGTGGTCAAATACCAAAGAATGACATTTTAAAATCACACCCTCCATAAAGTATTTTTACAATAGAAGAGACTATGATGTATGTCACATTAATGTAAGCAGTGTACATGTTTGTGTATAGTGCATGTACACATGAAACCATAAAAAAATTCATCCATCCATCTTGTTTCTTCTCTGAATTGAAACCTTATTGTTAGATTCATTTCTTCTTTACTTGGTGAGGTAATTATAAAGAGCTGCACTTTTTGCATTAGATTTACCTAGAGAAGAAACCCTACTATAAATTTTTTAAAAACACATAGAAGTTGTATGACCATGAAGAACATTATTTAACCGAAGTTTCCATTTTCTCTCTTGTTTTATACCCAAGTCTGATGTTTGTCATGAAAATCAAGTGAGATATGACTTTATGAAGCTCTAACATATATGATATGCTCGATGTATGTTGGGCTTCATATTTTGTTAGAATTAAATCTAACACAATTCTTTACAATACAATATGTTTCAAAATAATAAGTCACTTAAAACAGTGCAAATGGAGTTGGATTGAATTTCCAACCTCAAAAGCAACAATCCAAAGTTGATTTCTTATATAGGTTCATAAAACCACAATATCACTGGGCCCTGTGAACCGCTATGTTTTATGTAACACATCCTTAGATTTATAAAGCATTAAGTAAGAAAAATAACCCTTTGGATTATAAAAAATAAGGATCAAGATTTAAGTAACATACCCTGACTGATATTATTTATTATATGCATGTAATTATAACCCTCAACAATTCACAATAAGCACCTGACAAGATTGCTAAAACTTTTCACAAAATGGAATATATAAGAGAAAATTATTTCATTCCTGTTGGACTCAGTGGTGCTTGAGAAAACAGAACAAAGAGTCTGGGTTAAGGAATAGTTCAATCAAATGATATTTCTTTATTATTTTCCCAAGTAAAGTCTAGACTAAAGTAATGTTAATAAATGATACATACTTTCCAATGAAAGAAACAGGGAACACTTCAGTTCAAAAGAGCTGTTGATAATGATAAGGATGCATATTGGAATCAAAGTGCAGGAAAGCACAAAGCAACCAGCTTTTTGATGTATTATTTATAGTGAGATTTCCACGCTGGGCTGGAAAAGAGCCTTAGCAACAGCGTCTTGAATCTCTTTCTCATTATCTCTAACATCTCGTGTGGGGTAGGATGATTTAAATGCCTAATAGGAATATTTGCAAATCACTTTGAACATATTGCTCTCTTTCTTTTTCTCTGTTTCTCTGTCTTTGCTAGTGATGTGAATTAACACCTAAAAACCTCCCCTAACATTTAAATAGCATGTGCAGGAGATATTCTCTCATACTGATCCACAAAGGGGGACCACCTTCTATGTCCTTTATATATTTCTGCAATCACAACACAGGCAACTCCAGACTTTCCACATTAAATAAATTTAGGGCCAGAATCTGCAGTCTGGTGGGAAGATGGTGCAAGGGGGGCTGTAAGCTGAGCTTGCATACCAGGCTTTGTTTGTTTTATTCTGTTCTGCTGGATTTTTTAAAACAAATTCAAGAAAGGTATTCATAGCAAATTGGCAGGCAGGGCGAGAGGGCAGGGATGCTCAGTGAGATTACAGGATAATTAAAGCCCCTTCACTTCCAGCCTAAACTACTCTTTGGAGCTGCCTGAAAATCATAGCCTCATGTTTGGGATCCAAAACAGATTAACCCTTTCACTAAGTGCTACTGCACAACAACAGCTTTATCGTAAAACTTCAATGTATCTGTTATGTGTTTTCAGAATAGGTTAGGTCAGTATGGTGACCTTTATTTAGGGATGTGCCAATGAAGGAGTTAACTCTTACATTGTATGTTAATAATGGGAACAGTAATATAATGAATTCCAGAAAAAGAATTATTCAAAAGTCATTCATTAAGATAATTATATTGGCACATAGGTGTTGGTAATGCTTTAATGATAGTTTTCAGTAGATAGTTGCTACACAATAATTTTTATTCTTAACAATACAACAAGATTTTATTTGATGTGGCAAGGTGCTCAGCTAAAAGGTCACATTTCTACTTCCTTTGCAGCTAGATGTGGCCATGTGAGTAAGTTTCAACCAACGATATGAAAAATTGGGTGAGTCTTCGTGAAAGGTTTCTTAAGTGGGGCTAGATAGTGGGGATGATGATCCTTTTCTATTTCCCTACCCCAACTCCTGTTTTCGTTGGAATGAAGGTGTGATGCCTGGAGTTTCAGTTGCTATCTTGGACCTGAGGCTATCTAAATGATGAAAACCTCAAATTAGGATCATGGAAAAGAAAGACAAAGAATCTTCTGTGTTCTTGTTGACTGTCACTCTCTCCTACCAGATCTGGCCTGCCTCCCTCTAGAATTGTCTTACATTCAAGAAGAATAACTTTCATTCTCTTAAAGCCACAATTAATTACATTCTCTGTTACTAGCAGCCAAATATATTTTATAAGTGAGGCATTTTGTTTTACCAAGACTGTTATGTAAAAATGTCCTTCATCATACAGTTTATAGAGTGAAATCTTTCATAGCAGGTTGGTACAACACGGATGCTGTGTTATCAAATTCATTTGATTCCTAAATTTTAGATTTCAATTAGTGAGAATTTGAGCAACAAAGGACACATATGGTTTTAAAGTTGAAATTACAGCAAGTTAATCTACAGTCTCTGCACGTAACAAGATAGTGGCAAAAGTTTCCTATAACTTTGCTAAATAGAGAAGCAAATCAGCTGAGACCTGAAAATATTCCTTTGCAAAAAAGCAGCTAAATATGCCTTGGTTATCAGATTTAGAAATACTGTATATCTTTCAGCATGTATTTCTGTATTCTTAAAACTTTAATGAGATTCACTACTATAGTAAATGAAAAGATTGTAAGAGATACATATATTTTCTGAATTTGGACATTTTTCTTAAATAGTGACTCATTCCAAGGTTATGTAAAAATCCAAAAAGTATTCGCCATCTGAAAAAAAAAAATGTTTCGGATTCTATATGTTGAGTAGCACTGCTAAACAGCTGAATAGTCCTGTGAACAGACATCAGTAGTGTCTGAATTTATGATGTCATCTTAACAATTCTGGTTTGTACTTCATTCTTTGCTACCTACAGGCTTAGACCTGACACTGTTCTTTCTTAAATGAGTTCTCAGAGACAGCTCCTCAAAGAGAAAATCCTTGGGAACAATTTCTCTCTGGCCTTTCATTTCAGCTTTGTTTGATCTGTTGTCAATGGAGAATTAAGCATATTAAAAGAAATTGACCCACCCTTTTCTTTGTGTTCTCTTTACTCACTGCAATGCACACATTTTACTACAATTAATGTGCACCTTGGATTTACTACAGTGAAAGGAAAGTGAAGGATATATTTATATACTAGTGAGAGAAATGTCAAATTCTTATTTTTGTGCTATTCAGTTATCAGATTGGCAAAGGTTTCAAAAGTTAACCTTACTCTTCCACATTCATCTTGTTTCTGCTCCCTGGTCCACACTAGCCCTTACCCTTGGCAATTTTGATCAATATTATTAAATCAGTTGACTTTGATTTTATACTAGCCTGGGCTCTTACTAAGAAGAAGCCGAGGTCGGGTGCAGTGGCTCATGTCTGTAATCATAGCACTGTGGGAGGCCGAGGAGGAAGGCAGGAGTTCCAGACCAGCCTGGCCAACAAAGTGAGACTTCCCACTCCTCTTGTCTACAGAAAGCATACACACACACACACACACACACACACACACACACACACATTAGTTGGGTGTAGTGGCATGTGGCTGTAGTCCCAGCTACTTGAGAGGCTGAGGTGGGAGCATTGTTTGAGCCCAGGAATTCAAGGCTGCAGTGAGCTATGATCATGTGCACTCTACTTCAGCATGAGCAACAGAGTTAGACCATGTCTCCAAAAGAAGAAGAAGGAGAAGGAGAGAGGAAGAGGAAGAGGGAAAAAGAAGAAAAGGAGGAGGAGGAAGAAGAACAAGAGGAGGAGAAAGGAAGGAAGGAAGGAGAGAGAAAGAAAAAGAAAGCAGGAAGGAAGAAAAAGAAAAGAAAGAAAAAAGCAGCACCAGCAGCAGCTGAGTCTGCCACTCAAGTTCCCAGATTCAATTTTCCATTCAGGCTCCCAATAGCACTTTTCTGTTTGGATTCCCGTTACTCACTGACTCAGTAAGTCCATCCCAGTTTCCTTCATACTCATGCTCTTACCAGCTTTATTCATGATCCTGGATGCTATTTTATTCAGGTTTTCTGAACTGGTTTTTCTTTTCTTTTTCTTTTTTTGAGAAGGAGTCTTGCTCTGTTGCCCAGGCTGGAGTGCAATTGCACAATTTTGGCTCACCGCAACCTCTGCCTCCCAGGTTCAAAAGATTCTCCTGCCTCAGCCTCCCAAGTAGCTGGGATTACAAGTGCCTACCATTATGCCCGGCTAATTTGTATATTTTTTTAGTAGAGAAGGGATTTCTCCATGTTGGTCAGGCTGATCTCGAACTCCTGACCTCAGGTGATCCAACCGCCTTGGCCTCCCAAAGTGCTGGGATTACAGGTCTAAGCCACCGTGCTGGCCCTGAACTGATTTTTTTTCTCATCCTTCAAATCCTGAACTCTTTTTCTTTCCCTTTCTCTGAGATAACATTACAGTTTATTTCTTCACACTCTGGCCCTTTGGTGTGCCAGACTATGTGAGTCTCATCAGTTCATTTCCCTAGTCAGTGTTTTCTACACTCTCAAAGAAGCTCATTTCAAGGCCCTTCCTTACTCAGTGACTGTCGTTTGTTCCTGAATTGTTCTTTCACAAACAATAGCACAGGTCCAGTTAAATCACATTTCACTTTCCTTGGCTCTAGTAGATAACCTCCAATTCACTTTAGCCTTGATACTTTTTGGTTTTAAACTCTGTTTTTCCTTTCTCCCTTCCTTTTTTTCCCTTCTTCCCTTCCTTTCTTTCACAACCATTGTCAGCGCCCTGATATTTCCCATTTTTTCTGGCTCGTTAACAGTGAAGTGGGATAGAGAGCAGTGAAGGGATAGCTCATTAACAGTGAAGTGGGATAGATCCCTCGTAGATTTTCAGGTATAGTCACGTTGTGATAGCACATCTTAGATGTTTATAATGGAGATGGACTAACATGTTGAAAAGGACACAGATCTTTCAGTTCTGCAACTCTGGTCTGGAACAGGAACACACTTGAAATTATATGTGATTTTCATTTAAAAAATACAGCTTTAAGTGAGCTGAATTGCACTTTGAGGAATTTAAAGTTTAAGTATACATCAGAGAGGCATTGTTTCCCCTACAGAAAAAGCTCACTTCCACAGCTTCCTACTTGGGTGATGTGGAATGCGAGATGGTCAAAGGGGGCATGAAGGGACCATACATAGCAGCAGGGTCGTCTCTGAACAATATTATCCCAGAATCGGTTTTGGTGCTTTGTGGGGCTGTTTCTATTCTCTTCCCTACCATCCTTCTAATATCATATCATATTTGTGACTTTCTTCCCATTGGCTTCTCTAGATGTTATCACCTAAACCTGCTGGTGCTGGGCCCTCTATTCTGGGCTGCACCTTTCCTTTCTCCTAGCACAACTAACTCATCCAGAGTCAAGCTTGTTCAGAATACTTGCCAGGTAACTGGAAGCCAATCTGGTAAACTAATTCACCACAAGGAGCTCATTCACAGATTCATCAAACATTTATTGAGCACTGCAGCTCCTGTGGAGGTGTGAATGGCTGACCAAGACTGTTCCACTGCATTACCTGTGTACAATGAAGCAACCTTGGGCTTTGGGGTCAGACAGTCCTGGGTTTGAATCTTACCCTGTCACTTGCTAGATGTGTCATCCAGGAAAATTTCCTTCATCTTTTCATAAGTCTCAGTTTTCTCATCTGTAAACTGGGAACAATAATAACTTCTTGCTGGTGATGCTGGGTTTTAAGGACAAAGAGATTCAGTGGCTAGCTCCTAGTCAATGTTAAATAACTAGTGCTTTTGTTAAATTATTGGTTGTCTTTCTCATTTATCATATATGAAGACCTTTAATACTTTAACTTTGGATACAAATTGTCAGTGTCTTAACAATTAAGAATTTTAAGTCTTGTAACTAGTTGATAAGGGCCATTTAGGAAGTCAGAGAAGTGTTCATCTGCCTCTCACCCACACCAGTTATCTCAGTTCTGTCAATAGAATACCCCAGTATCAGCTGTCTCAGGAACTGATGCAGAGTGAATTGCTGAAGACACAGGAGAGGTGTTATAAGGATACGCAGAGGTACATTTTCAAATGAGGCAGTCTGGCTATAAAATACCAGGAAACAGCAACAGCAGATCATGAAGTGAAAAATAGGTCGCTTGTTTGGAGTCAAGGTGTCAGGTAGCATACAAGATGAAGGACCCAAAGCCATAAACAGTAACAGGCTGTAAAAATTGCTACAGCAGCCATAAACCAAAGGGCTGCCTTTTCACATATGCCGGATGGGGAGAAGTGCTGGTCATGCAGCTGTTTTTTGTGTTTTTTTTTTTTTTTTTTTTTGCCACACTCGCACACATGCAAAACAACACCATCAGCTCTCAGTGGCATCATTTTGAACATTGATAACAATGATAAATAGAGACCTGATAGCTGGCTACCCACAAAGACAGGAAGGTAGTACAAGAGAAAAAAGGATAAAACTCCATTCCTTTTGTTTGAGACCCAAATGTGTTACACTTTCCAAATGTTTGCAGCTTCAAATTTTAGTGTGTTAAATTTTGGAACATCTAAATAAAACATACATTTGTTTGCATATTCTTGTATATTGATAAGGCTTTCTATTATCTTAGGTGGTTTTTGTGTTATGAAGATTTTTAAAAATACTTATTTTGTGCACATATTGTAAGAGTTCTAAGCTCAAAGTCTTTGGCTGTCACTTCAAATGGCATTTGAGCAGTCATCTGGGGTTGTCAGTTTGGGGAAAGGGAGGAGATAGACAAAAGGCCATTTGACTTATTGGAGGTAATTGTGGGCAAAGTGTTCTGCTCCATTATACTACAAACCACTTCATTTCCTTCCGCATCACAGTTGGCTCACTCCTGACTTTACTCACCTCCTGTCCACTACCCACATTACCCACCTCCTGTCCATTGCTCATGACTTTACTTACCTCCTGTCCTCTACCCAGGATGTTACCCACCTCCTGTCCTCTACCCACGACATTACTCACCTCCTGTCCACTACTTACGACTTTATTCACCTCCTATCCACTACCCATGACGTTATTCACCTTCTGTCCACTACTCATGATTTTACTCACTCCTGTTCACTACCTATGACTTTACTCACCTCCTGCCTACTACCCAGTCTAAAACTCTGGAGAGATGGTTGAGTATTTGGCAGAACAGGGGTTTTGATAAGCCCTGGATTTGGAAACTATCTGCAAAGAAAGAAAAGACTTAGCCATCACATGCCAGTGTTTCACCTCGGTGATTTGATTCAAGCAGAATCCTCCAAATTTCTTAGGCTTTTAAATTTATCTGCACTATGAACTAAACATTCTCTAAAGTGAAACATTGATATTGTTGAAGGTATTGAAAATAAACTACCTGAGACCAAAATTATAATATGATGCCAGCATTAATTTATCTGACATCTGAGGTATATTAATTTTATGCAAGGTGGTATAATTAACATTATGCACAACCTGAATGCATTAAGAGTTTAGAATAAATTGAAGTTATTTGGGAACTGGGAGCTGTGAAAGAATGTAGAAATATCCTGGCTGTCTAGCTCTTTCAGCCATCAAAGAGCACAGTGGATTCTTCAGCATCCTGAGCAGATGTAGGGCCTTTGAAAGGCCCATATTTAAATGAATCTAAATACTGGTTCTAATATGCTCTTCTTAAAATAGAAATCAGTGACAAAATTGAGTAAAAATTCATAAGGCTTTAAATTTTCAGGAAAAGCAATTTGGGTACAAACTGTGCCTGTTAACATACACTCAGAAAAATAATCTTTATGGATATCTGTCAAATGTGTTGGCCTTACCTGAAGGGATAATGAGCTAATTAGGGAAATATATTTCTGCTATAAGAGTTTTTATTCAATCACTATGTTTCCAAAACATAGTGATTGAATTCAAAACTCCTCTGGGGAGAATAATGAGGATGATTTGTGATTATATGATTGAAAAGAATATATACATTTGTTTATTTCCATTTGGAGTTCTGACTTGTTAAAAGCAAAAGTTGAATTTATAACCTTAAATGACTGGAATGAGCTTAGGATTTTTATATACTTAGGCAGCACCTAAGAAACTCTTCCATTATTGAAGGCAGTGGAAACTATTTAAATATTTCACAGTGGATTTCCAAGTAACTACATCATTCCTTTGAGTTAAGAAAAAAATCACCTTTTATTTTTCAGGCTATAAATTATGTTAGTATATGAACACAGCCATCTTAGAATACTTTTGAAGGCACACTGTATTAGATTAGTTGATTCCACTTAGCATCAATGCAGAAAAAATAAAAATACACTTCTTTTCTAAGCTCAGAATTAGACTAGGAATTATTTCATAATTTTTCACTTGCATAAAATTTACTCATATCAGCTATATTAATGCAAGCATAAGGGCTTTATTCTTCAGAGAGTTTAATATTCAAATTAAATTTAGAGTCAGATCTCTGTTTATCTCATTAGTGATGATGCTATTTTTAAAAAATATACAGAAACAAGGAGACTTCATGTCCACTTTTCACTTCTCCTACTTGAAAATATGTACTTAGTTATAGCACAGGTATATATTTGCTCTTATTTAGCATCTCTAAAATATGGGAGAGAAGGTTTCACTTTTCAAGGATGCCTCTCTGATGAGTTTGTAGAATCTCAAGTGCACCTTCGTACTGTTACTGAAATAAAGGACTTTGATTTTTCTCCTCTTCATACATGTTAAAACTTGTAGACACAGTTATACAAATAGAGTCTCGCTCCTACCCATTTATATATGATAAACTTTAAGTGTTAGAGTAAATCAAATTTCCTGTGAAAAGAGAAAGTA